TGCTAGTTCACATCACCTGTCCATTTCTTGCTTTTTCCAWATCACTGGGGGAAGAATTAAACTCCCTAACAGCCTTGTAACATTTAGCATTAGCCAAACACTCTTGCAGTCTCGAATGGTCAGCGAAGGGCAAATTTTGTGGGTGTGAGTGAGCGGAATTCAAAAGGAACCTCAGACCTTGCATAGAACCAAGCTCCCACTACTTGAACAGTGTCTTCTTAGCTGTTACTGTCAATATTTACAGCAGGCCAAAAAAGCCTGAAGGTGTGAAAAGGGATGATGCAGCCACCAGAGTGAGCAAACTTTGGTTTTTTGGTGCACTTCCCATCTCTGTGTCCCACCAGCCCTACCTGTAGCTGCTTTCAGTATTTGCTGTAGCTCAGGAGATAGTTGTATGAGCTTTTTGGTGCCCTGAGCTCCAGTTTCCAACCCCCTTTGCAGAGAGTGTGGCCTAAGTATCAGAGCTTCAGTTCTTGTGTCTTTGCTGGTACTTGTGAGGGCAGCGATGGCCAACTTAATAAAAGGTCAGGACTCTTTGCTGGGGGCTGATGGCATGAAATACTCCAAATCACAGCAGTCAGTGATTTCCAGAGTGATGTAGGCCATGTAACAGATCTTCACACACACACACTCTAACAGCATATAGAAAATACAGTAATTTCACTTGTAATAATGAAGTTGTATTATTATGCACTGGGGAATTGAAGGCAGATGCTTGGATTTTTCCCAGTGGGCTGAAGGGAGRTTCAGGTTTTGCTTTATTTATTAATTATATGATAAACCAAAGCCAAAGCATGATGAGTCAGCTTGATCTTCACTGCTGCAGTTCCTGTGCCATGGTCCCCAGGCATTGTTTAACAGATGCCTGTACCCACATGAGGCTGGATGAACCCAGAGACTGCAGGCTTAGTTTTGTCACCCTGCTGCAGAAACTCCTTAGGGAGGCTCTGTGTATGCTTGGGAGCCAGTAGTATAGGAAAGCCTCTTAGCAGAGGATCCTAGGAAAACACTCAGGAGCTGATCCCAGGAACAAGTTTTCTGTGCCAGCACCATATGCAGTTCCTCATGGCAGCCAGATCTCCGGGGAGGAGGAAACAACTCTGCCACCTCCTTCCTCCTTCTGTTTTATGATGGCTGAGTTTYATAGCTGCTCTGTAAGCACTCTGTGTGCCTCCCTGGCTGAACAACAGTATATTTGTGCTTTCAAAGGTAATGTCAGTCTGCCTCACTACTGTCTCAAGATGCAGAGAGGGATGAGTGCTCTAAATGGACTGAGGTTGAAAGTTAAAATAGACCAAGTGAGATCCTCAACCAGTGTTGACTCTTTTGGCTTAGTGGCGTCAATGCAAGGACTCTACTTTTGCCCTTTCCTTAGGGTGAACCTTCAAGAAGAGAACTTAGTTGAGGGACTCACTTGTTTCATTCTCACTCCTTGGCTTGGGCTGTCCTCTCCCTTCCTTTGGGAAGCTATAAAAACTTGCACCTTGTCCATATTACACATAGATAATGGCTTAGGGCTGTCAGGAGAAGTCRTCTTAGAAGTTCTAAGTTTGCCTTTTGTGGTTATTTTTTTCATGTCAAATACAGGACTGTTTGCACTGTAGCCTTATAAAGTCCAAGAATAAATCCAATGAATGCTGCTGTGTTTCTCTTTTGAATGTCTCTGTAATATGTGCTTTGCCAGCATTGCAGAGTTGTGCTTGGACAGCAGGACCAGAAAGTGTGAGGGGCTGGTGGGACATGGCTGGACACCAGGAAAGAAGATAGGAAGCCATGTATACACATATAAAAAGAAATTATGTTTACAGTTTTGGCATCTCATTGCTCCAAGGTGTTAGGGAAGTCAGTGGCTTCAGAAGAAAGGTTTGAGAGTTGTACGGACAGCAGGGACAACCAGAGCTAGAGGGAAAAAAAGAAAGGTTTGGTGTAGAGGCCTTCTTTTGGGTTTGCAGATCATCTGGCAGGATGAGACCCTGCTCTGGGACCAGAGATGGTTTCCACTGAAAAAAGTAGAAGGAAGTTTTGGACGGCGTGAGATTCCCCATCAATGTATTTGATGCCCAGCCATCGCTTACACTGTTCTAATTAAGTTACATCACAGTAATTACAGTGCATTACAGTTCAGAGTTCAGGAGTCCCTTTCTTCTTTGTTTGCTTTCCAGTGTACATGACCTTTTCCTGCTGCTGCGTGGGGTTTGCCTGAGGACTTTGCCATGCAGATGTTGATCTGTGATGGAGGTTGGGTTGTCATGCCTGACAAAAGGATGCTTCAGCTAAGAAGGGCACCTGCGGGATCATGTTGCCCTGTTTTAGCTTTCCAAGTTGTGATTGTTCCAGCTCGTGTTGCAGATGTTTTGGGTTGTACTTTGCATGGTCTCTTTTTGTGCTCTCAGGATGAACCAGGTGCAAAGGACAGGGTTGTTGTAAATRTCACTTGTGTCTGGTCACCAGGTGCTTGCCAGGGTAGAACCATGCAGGTGCTGGTCTATAGCTGACATCTGCTACTGAAGACATTCTTGGTCTAAAGACATTAAGGTTTTCTTCTTTCTGTTTGCAGTTAGGGGATTGTGTCCAGGCTTCCTTGCATCTCTTTAACCATTCACTTGATGGACTTTATGACACTCTGCCACAGCAAGGTGTCATCCCTGAAGCTCAGGGCATGGTGTGCTTCCTGTCTGTACCTCTTTCAAACAAGCAAATCTGGTTTGTGTGACTGAAGTGTTTGTCCACTCTGTTGTACTGGTGCAAGTGAGGATCAGAGCCCAGTGTTGCTCTTCATCAATTGTTGATCTGTGTAGAGGAACGCCTAAGTTGAGTCAAAGGGGTAGGGCAGGATCTGTGGGGTTTTATGGCCCTGTCAAGAGCAGTGTCAAGGCCAGATCTGGATCTATTCATTCTCTCTACCAGGTTTGTCCAAGGGACTGGAGTTGGGGGTTTCTATGATGATATAAGTACACTTAACCTTTAGGCATTGTCAGAGGGACCTCAACCAGTCTTCAGCTCACAGAGGCTCTGCTTGTTTGTGAATCAGCTTGTTGGGCTGCAGTGTTGAGGAGCCACATCTGACACAGGCTTGGTGTCCTGCATTTCTGTGGTTTCTGAAAAGCCTTACTTGGCCTGTGGATGCTGGCTGTGAGCCCACCCAAATCCWGCTTGTCGTTGTTGCTGTGGTCTCCCAAGGAAGCTCTGGAAGGAAACACCACCACCTCCCCCCACCAGCTTCTGCTGATTGTGCAGGTCTGCCAGCAGATGCTGAGGCTGCGACGGTGGTGGTGTTGTGCTCCTGTCCCTGCACACTCATGATGAGCACATGTCTTACGACAAAAACCCGAATGTGGGGGAACAGAAATCCCCAGCTTTACCGTAAGTTTCCTGTGTGACCATCAGGAAGTCACTTAATTGTGGGTTCTTCATTGCAGGGTGGAGTTCCTTGTTCCTTGATCTGCTGTGCCAGTCATGTTTTGCTGAGGGGTGGGATATATGAACCTGTGTGGAGGCCACTCAGTGTTGAAGGAGCATGTCTCCTGTGTTCATGCTGTGATGTTTGCAAGACAGAGAGGATGAGTCCTTGGGCAGTGTCCTTTTGTTGCTCCAGTGCCAAAAGAGGGAAATTCCTTCCTTTTCGTAATGGAGAGCTGCAATCCTCACATCTTCAATCTTTTTTGTAGCAGATATGTGCTACAAAAAACACTACTGTGACGCACTTAACTCACCCACAGCAACATTGCTTGGATTTTTAAAAAAATCCAGGCTGCTGCARAGGGAGGAGATACGAGCATCACACTTGCAAGTCTGATGTGGCTGAGATTTACTATGAGCAGCAAAGAGAGGTTTGGGTAATTCAGTACTCTAACTTTAAATAAAGTTTGCTGGTCCAAACTTAAATCTCACACCTCAGCCTTTGAACTTCTCTGTTTCTGTTGGGTTGTGTGATGGTTTCCCAGCATTGCACATGCAGTGCACTGGTTGGTTCTGCATGGCTACAGACTTGGTTGTGATGAACTCAGTCACTATGGCTGTTGAACGGCTGGGTTTGGAGGCCTTCCGTGGACCTCTCTGCCAGCAGTGCTCACTGTCCCCATCCCTCTACGTTGCAGCTGGTTGGTGCTGCTGCCTGGTCCATAAATCAGCAGAGTGCCCCTGAATATCTGCTGCATAATGACTGATGCATATTCATGTTTGCTACAGCGTTGTGTCAGCCTGCTAACAGTGTRAGGAGAGTAGGGACAGGGTCCCAACAGCTGGTGCCCGCTTGCTTAATTTATCTCCTCTTYCTGCTGCCACCTTGCCTTTGGCTCCCTAAGATACCCCCTCTCTTGCTTTTCTAGTGTCCTTTCCCCCGCTGCTTCTCCCAGATGTGCCAAAGTGAGCCCTTCAGGTTTGCTTTTTGCTGTGCTGCCTCCTTCCCCTTCACACCTGCTCTGCTAATAAATCAGGGTGTGTGCCTGCAGAGGCCCTGCAAGGATTAAATGAACACGGCAGGATGATCATTATATTTGATCATGTAAATTAAAAGGCTTACTAAGAAAAAGACACTCTGTAAGTATCTGATCTTGGCTGGTCTTTTGAGCTCTGTTTTTGAATAAGCTTGTATTGGTGTCCCATTGGGAATGGAWGGGCAAGAAGGAAACTCAGTCTCTGTCCCTCATCCCAAAAGGGACTGTTCCTCAGCCAYAGCTTTCCTGGGGAGACGATGCTGTTGCACCTGTGCTGCTTTTCCTTCTGTCTTGAAAAATCAGGAGGAATAAAAACCCTGTACCATCTTTCTCTGGAAAAGATAAAACCTGTGAAATACCATGTAAGAGAGRGGATGGATGGGGTTTGACTCTGCTTTTCTTCTTTTAGTGCAAGATCCTAAGTGCTGTCTAGGGAAGCTGGGGAGCCAGTTTTGGTACTAACCAAAGTGTATCCCAAGATTCACCTGATTCCAACACAGTCAGAACTGTCTGTCCCTGCAGAGAGGCATCCCTCTCACTCCTACTTTGTATTCCTTCTTCTAGGGGGACTTGAGCCATTCCCAGACAAGAGGACCCTATTTCTCTGTGGAAGCTGTTTAGCCATCCAAAGGGTGAGTGCTGCATGGGCAGGAGCAGACTGGGCTCCTGCTGTCCCAAGATACTCATTTGTCTGCTTTTCTGCTGGCCAACAGCTTCCTCCTTTTTTCACCCAAACCCRATGTTGCTGTCTGTGTGGAACTTGCTGTGGCAGGAGCTGTAGTGCAGTAGGATATGTGCTGTGTGCACCTTTCCGTTCCTGGAGACTAGAGCTCACCAATACTCTTAAAATGCTACTTTGTTCCAAAACCTGACCTTTTTAAAAGTCTCTTAACCATTACATTTTAAAATTTAAAAAAAAAAAAACAAACAAACAAACCAAAACCAACAAAAAGCTAAAACAAACACCTAAACGCATTATCAAAACAATTATTGAGACTTCCCAGATGCAACCACCCTGTTTTCTTATCCATGTATTATCTGGGAAAGTACATGTGTTAGGATTTAAAGCAAGCAGGAAGCTGAACAATCATACCTATTTCCATTGCAAATTCGTCTCAGTAAAAATGGCTTGGATGCATTTCTTGAAACCAGTTTCCTAGTTTTTCTTTGTCAGCAGTTGCTTGGGAGGAGTAAGAAATGATGGGGAAGGAGAGGAGAATGGAAAGCTTGCAGTGGGAGTGCATTTCCTGGCTCTGGGGTACTTTTTTTTGCTGTGCATCAGTGGTGCTCAGGTCTGCCTTTTACCAGTGACCTCYCCCTTTCTTGTAGCTAGGCTTCAAGGGAGGAAAACAGCAGCAATGCTCATTCTGCCCCTCTGCTCCCAGCCCTACCTCCATCTCCCAGTGCTTCTCTGTGGACCAGAGCATCTGCCTCTCTGCTGGCTGCCTGTGCCCATGACCCAGTTGTGATTTTCATCAGGATAATTGGAGAGCAGGGCCTCTCTTACAGCAGTCTGTGTTTTCCTGCTTGATGTACCCTGCCTCCCCAATTGTCTCTGCCTCGGAAAGCTGGGCTGGGGAGGAGCTGCCAGCTCTRACAGCCCAACACAAAGACTCAGCAGGAGACCAACAGCTTTCCCAACCAAAACTTCTACTGTGAGCTTTTTGTCTCAGGTGAAAACCCCAGATGGGAAATCACATTGCCTGAATTCAGTTTCCAGCCTTATCACCCAGTGATGCCTTTGGGCCAGTTCCTTGGCTGGTTCGCATCCCCTTGCCTGTCTCTACAGTGAGGAGARTGGTGTTTCTGTTCATGCATGGCCTCCAGGTCTAGCACTGGGTGCTCCATCCCTTGCAGCTTAGTGGTGAGAGCTGAATTTGTCCCTTCTTGTGCTGTTGTAGTAGAGCCAGATGGCTGCAACGTGCCCTAATGTGATGACAGGACTGCTGGGTCTTAGGAGAAGCTGGACCTTTCCCTGGCAGCTTGCCTTGCTCCTTTCATCACCAAGAAGACCAGGCAGAAGATAGCAGGTACCTTAGGAAACCAGCCTGGAGACAGCWTCTCTTGTAATTCCATACCATTACTGGGCAGCATTTTCCCCAAAGCTTGATATTCTCTGTCCCTGTTAATAGCTGTAATTACAGAGATCCACTTACACTGGCACTGCATACTCATCTGCTCCAAGTTTCTACTTCATTGCACCTTATATCTTGTGGGAAAATCAATACAATTTGGTTCTGAGACTGGCAGGCCAAGAGATTGCCCAGAGCCTGGGTTCATGGTTGTGTACCACACATTGTAACAATTACCAGTTGCTGTTATCTGTAACGTGGGTCTTGTTTTAAGGTTTTCTGGGTACCTGTCTATCTTTTTATATACTCAAGATAAATCACACTGCCTTTCCCCCATCCCATTAATGTTTATAGGTGGGATTTTAATGTAAAGGGAAGTTAAAACCTGCCTCTTCTCTTGAGCTCTGTTGTACAGAGTACCATTTGTTTTTCTGAAAAAGGCTGGGAGGCCTGGGAGCAGTCTCTTTTCCAGGGTGAGGTGGAGGGCTGCCAGCCCAGGCAGGGAAGCATCTGCCTCTGAACCACCTGCTCAGCCCTGGGAGGCTGGAGAGGAGAAGAAGGCGGAGGAGCCCTGGCAGTTTGCAGCCTTCTGCATCTCCAYAGTGAGAGCTTCTCCTCCCTCACGCTGCTTTCCCACACGTGTTGGTACATTCAACATTAAGTCCTGACTGCAAGATAAGAGTTCAGGTTTTATTCAAGTGTCCCACATTGTCCTGGCCTGTATTGTGGTTTCTTCATGCCTTTGTTATCCATCTTTACCAACTTTCAGACACAACTCCAGGCTCCTCTTTCCTTATGCAGGCCACTCTTGCTCATGTAGTCTCAAAGAGTGCTGAAGTGTTGGATCATAAATCACAGGTATAATTTAAAAACTGTCTTCAGTTTTTTTACATCACTAGCCCTGCTATTTGCAGAGAGCTGTGACTTGGGTGCTAGTACAGGTGGTCTCTCCCATCTGCATGTGATTTTTTTATTAAGGTTCTGTGTTCAGCAGCGGTGTGGGATGTATCATTTGCTTGCCTGTTTCTTTCACCCTTTCTGAGGGCTGGCAGCAATTAACCCGCAGAGCAGCGTGATTCCCCTCTGTGGAAGTTAGCTTGGAAGATTGGTTCTTCTGCAGAGACTGTGGTGGGATGAGAGACTTGCTGTCAGGGAGATGAACAGAGTGGTGATGATGGRAGGTGAAGGTCCCACTGGGATTCTCAAGCATAGCCCAGCACCTTCCAGAGTCTCCTGACTGCGCAATGCTCTTCATGCCTCATTCACTATGCTGGAGACATGGGTGGACGTATTATGGACCTGCTCATCTTTCTCTGGAAAACAGTAATTTTGGTGGCCTGCATTGGCTGTGGTGAGTGGGCTGGGTGGGCAGTTCATCCAGAGGRAAACTTGGGTGGCTGGTTTGTTCTTCCAAGTTTATTGCATTAATGACTTATTTAGGTTGATTGCTGTTTTGAGTAGTTTAGTTATAGCTACCTATGAGTTGTTTATCTTGGAGTAAGCTGCCAACAAAGAACTTTATTCCGAATACTTATTATTTGAGTGGGAAAGCAGGAACATTGTAGTTGCACTCTCTTACTGCTAACAGCAGGTGATTGYATGGCTTTGTCTTGACTGTCTGACAGCTAAAGCAGGAACCAGGGAGCAGAGAGCAGGTAGCAGCTTTGGAGAGAATGGTGCCATCTTGTCTTCCTTAGTCCCTCCATATCTTCCCAAGCCCTTTGTGGCTGGGTAGTCTCTGGCACAACTTGCCAGAGGTGCCAGTCTGGAAACTGTGAGAGCTGTGCMTGGAGCAGCGACCAGTCCATGCCTGTTCAAGACCTTGAGCAAAGCTGAGGCTTGCCCACTGCTGCTGGGACACGTTCATGGCTGCTGTGGAGAGGCAGTCCCTCTCTTCCAGACCTGCCTGCAGCTTTTTCCTGCTCTTCCTCACGGGTTTCTCCTTGAATGTGCATATGTATTTTGAGCCTCCTATATTATGTCATTCCTTATCCCTTTTCTTCTTTTCCTCTGCAGCAAKATTTTTGTGCTCAGTCCCTTGGGACAGGCTGCCTTTTCCTTGAGATCTTGAATAGCTAGCAGAAGATGGAAGAAGCCRTTCTGCTCCTTTGTGGCTTTTTTTCCTATTTTTCCCCTAATAGAAAGTCATCTCTCCAAAGCAGGGAGGGCCAGTGTTTGCAATTTTTAGTCTCTCTTTGGCATCCCTGTCTCTGTTTTCATCTGTGATATGCAACATCTGCATTTGCAGGTTCACTGTCAGCAAGCCAACAAYAAGCATAATTGATTTGATTTGTAGCTCACTTGTTGATTTAAAAAGTGAGCTACAAAAAACAAATAAATGAAAATGAAGCATTTGATAGGGCTCATAACAGAGCTTGCCTCAGTTCCCTAATCTCTTTGAGACTGGACAGAGAACATCCACAGTTTGGTCCTTGAGTGAAAACAAAAGGTGGCATTTCACAGCACTGGAGAGGCTCCTTCCATCCCTCCATAGRCTGTGTTTTGTGATGTTGATGACACTCTTGTGCATGAGCAAATGGAGGAACCTGGACAGTCACTGGAGTGAGCCAACAGCGTTTGCTTTGTCAATGCTCAAAAATCACTGAGCAGGATTCCTGTTGTGTGGGTGTGGACGGCTGCTGGTAAAAGACTGGGATGCATGTTGTTCTCCTAGAGGGCTGCAGACCATTTCTGCCTGCAGGGCGTCTCTGCTGAAGGGAAATATACTCAAACACTGTGGCATTTGTGGTCATATGGCTCCTCTGGACCGGACTTTGGAGGAAAAGTTGCCTGGTCTGAGATGAGCCCAGAGAGATTTGCAGAGTGAAACTGATTTCTGATGTGGGCAGGTACAGGGTGAGTGCTCAATCATCAGCAGCTGTAAAACTTCTGTCATGGCTGACCTCAATGCAGCAGCGTGTTGCAAAAATCTCTCTTGACTTGTTCAGTTGGCTCTCCTAGGAGAGAAACAAAGTGATGGGAGGAAACAGAGCACACATAGATAGCTCCTTCAGTTATTTTCTTGGAAGTGGGTCAGAGGCTCCCTCTTGGTGAGTGTGCTGGAAACCCACTGTGTATCCCTTCTGCTTGACGCCTGAGCTCTTGTTGAAATTGTGGTGGTGAGATGGGATGTACTGATGGGGCCAAGCCCCTTGAGTTCTTCACCTCTGCTGAGTGACTTTCTGGAGACTTCATAGTTCCGTCCCCTAAACCACTCTCTGTGCTGGAGAATAGGGACACTGAGGAAGGTTTTTTGCAGGGCATMGCTGGATCTCTGGGTAACACCTGTAGCCATGATGCCAGGACCTGCTTTAGGTCTCAGCCCCATAAAAACTTGTGCCAAGCATCTTGGTCCTTGTTTCTGCAGGCAAGGCTTCCATGCTGCTACCCAGCATGTGCAGACAGGGGAGGTGGTGTGCCTTCTGCCCTCACCCACAGCTCCAGCCCCTCCCTGTGACACAAAGGGAGGATGCTGATGTCCAGCAGGGCTGGATGCTTGCTCTCCCACTTCCTGCACCAGACTGGCAGATGGCTYCTGTTTGCTGGAGCTGTGTGGCTCTGGCTGTTGGGCTGGGAGCAGCTGCCRCTGCCAGGCGGAAGCAGTCGTGAGGCTTTCCTAGACAGCTTTGAATGGGAGCCAGGAGCCCTCTCGCTACAGGAGAAAATCCACGAGGTCAGGAAATACAGCAGCAGCAGCTCCAGCTCCACACTGGGGCTGTTGGCTTGGCATGCGGATCCCAGCCCTCCTCTTCCCAGATGGTGCTCCTGAAAGGAACTGCTCTCCTCCTTGCTGGCTCTCTCAACTGTTGCTTGACAGCCCTGTGTGGCTTTTGGAGGATCTAACAGTGGAGTGCTGCAGGGGTGATAAATTTGGATTGGGAAACACTAGATGGTGACCTGGATCAGACTTTCAGATCTTGAAGAGCTTGCAGAAAATGGAAGAAGCACTGTTCCTACTCTGTGTGGGACTGGGAGGTTGTGCTTTTGTGTTTCCCTCTGTTATTTTGTGGTCAGCTGTGTGTGYGCTCTGTGTTGGCTGCTGAGCAATTGAAACTGGAAATCCTCGCATCAGGAGAAGGTTTCACAAACACCAAGAGGCTGTAAACCTCCATCCGGTGTGTCACCAGAATGAAAACTGGGGTGTCTGTTACTGTCTCTCTGACAGGAACCCCACTCTCTTCCCTGCTTCTGTTTTTTTTGGAAGCCAGAAGCTTGCCTTTGGGATGGCTGTTCCTTGAACCAGCCCCTGTGGTGGTGATGATGTTCATGTGGCATTGAGGAACAGCCACCCCTATGTTGAAACCGTGGGTACATTGAAGAGCAACCTTGTTCTTCCCATGTTGAGGAGTAAAAAGTGTGATGGGGAGCTCCAAGATGGTGTTGGTAAGCTTAAGGATAGGACCAGCTGCCCAACTCTGTGGCAGAGTTTGGCCATATGGAAATCCCTGCTTTCCCTGCAGCTTTGGCCAGGCTGCTCGTTCCGTGGCATTTGCCCATGCTGTGGTGTGCAGCTGGGTCTGCACACTGCCCATGAGGAGCTTGCATTGCGGTTCCCTTGGGAAAGGAAGGGAGCTTGCCTAAGCACTGATTTCAGCACACATTAATTCGGGCAGCTCTCCTGCCCACAGCTGTCCATCATTCACCATGCTCTCACTGTGCATTAGGACATGTTTCGCAGCAATGCAATGCTATGGAGCAGTCGAGTAGGCTGGACCTGCCCTCCTCTGCAAGCTGCAGGATCTCTCCTGCCATTGCTGGGGCAAGGATGGCAGGCAGAGCAGTGGAGAGTTAGCTGAGGTGACAGAGGGATGGTGTCAGTGAGCAAACACAAACATTGCAGAGATCTTGTATGTAAACTGTTCACATGCTGGCCTCGAGTGGTGAGTAGCAATAGGACCTTTGCCCCCTTTATTTTCCCTGCACTTAGGACACTCTTGGGTGGGTGGGGAGCAAGAAGACGTGGGTCTTTGTTTCTCTGGAGGAGCCAGATCTTAAAGCTCTATGCTAAAGTGGTGATGTGCAGGGTTCACTGGTGTGTGGCTGCCCCTGTGCTGTGCAGTGGAGCTCATCTGGGGTCTGAAGCAGGGTTAAGACACTTCAGTTGACATGGGTGACCACCTTAATCCCCCACCTCCTGCTGCAGTGTGGACCATAAAGCCACTATGGCCATGCAGACTGGGGGTCTTTCAAAGGAATAGGCAGTGCCTTCCACTGGGGTAGTCTTGAGGAAGAACTTCCTCCTTGAGAACTCATGTCTTCTTCCCATATTGAGTCAAAGCTTTTCTCACTGCCTTAGYGAGTCCTACAGGCCTGGGCTGTTGTACCATTCTTCTTGAGCATCTTTGTGACAACTGCTTCATCATCAGCATTAGATATAGAACAAAGTCCATCAGAGCCACTTGCAGGCCTTTGTTTACAGCCTCGTGTGTTCTGCTGGGGGTTGCAGATCTCCCTGCTCTGTAATGAAAGGTGGGAGCTGGCTGCAGTGTTTCTTCAGACACTCAGGACCCCTCTGTGCTCAGCTGTGAAGCTGTTGCTGCAGGAGCGGTACCCTCCTGGACAGCCATGCTGGTRGAGATGGTCAGTCAGAATTTTCTCCTCAGTCCCCTTTTCATCTTGTCTCTTTCCAGAGAGATCAGAAGCCTGGRGTGGGGATCTCTCTTGTCCCTGAAAAGCAGTGCATGTGAGAACATCATATACGTGAGGACGTGCATTAATGGAGCAGAGTGGTGTGTGTGCACATTCAATTAGTGAGATCACTTAGATTCTCTCCTGTAGCCTTGCTTTCAATTTGCATCTCTTCCCTGGCTGCCAGGACAGCACACTGGACATTCCTGGGAAGCAGTGGCGCTTTCAGGTAGGCACCTAGGTTRTGGTATTATTTGCACTTCCTTTCCTCCCACCATCACCACTTTTTCATCATATTTAACTGCTTCTCCAGCAGTGAAGGACAACACAGCAAACCAGAGGTCCTGCTTGACATCATATTTGTTACCAGGTTGCTCTTTTGTACCCATTCCTTTGCCCTTCTTTAGGATTCTGGGTGCTGAGAAGGGCATAAGCTTTGTTTGCCCTACTGCTACTGAGACAGCAGCTCAGAAGAGGGCTTTAGCAAGAGGTGGTTTTGTCTGATTGCTCCTAGCTCAAGTGGGAGATGGAACTGTCTGGGTGGTTTACGGTTGCAGTCAGGTGGGGATTGAAGGCAGAAAGTTCTGGCCTCCTTGCCATTATATCTTTGTTGTGTTAGCAAATGCATCAGCTGCGGTCTGATGCTAAAGCAGCCTTTGCCAGCACAGTTCGTACCAGCTTCCAGAGTTTGGGGGCAGGGGCTGGCAAGCTTTGGGAGGAGGGGGAGTGATTTAACTGTCTGGGGCAGGGGGGCAGAGGAGGGGGTTGTAATCCCTGTGAGTGCTGAAGGGTATCTGACAAGGGCAACTGTGAACTCGTCTGCCTGCTACTTGCTGTATTTTGGGTGGCTTCCCCAGATCTTGCAGTTGGTGGCTGAAAATGAGTATCTGACCCTGGGGTGACTTTCAGTAGGCAGGGCTTGCAGTCCAATGAGGGTGGATTTCTATTTAAACCGTTGGGGTTTTGTAATCTTCCTGAGTTAGTTCCTCTTTCTCAGCAGACTTGGAGCACAAATTTAAGGGAGGAGCTGCGGGGACGTGTATCTTCTTGGGCTGAAGGGCCATGGGAGAYAGGCAATACTGCGGAAGTGTGGTTTGCTCATCCTGACCCTAATTATCATTCTCAGTCAGCACCTTTCGTGACAGCATCTCTTTTCCTCCTGGTGGGTGTGCCAAATTCATCTCAGGGAGCAGGGATGCCTCTTCTGCAGTGCTCCCTCTCACGATGGCAGCACCATTAGCTAGAGGACGGGCAGAGGGTGTAGATGTGCCACTGTCTCAACCCTGCCATGTGATTTGAGGTTTAATGCAGCCATGAGGGTGAAGATGTGGAGGTAACAGAACTTTTGGGTGGGGCTGGACCTTCTTCCCTGCTCTCCCTGGGAAATGACAACATCGTTGGCCAAGGGTTTCAAATCTGTCTAAAGATTTTGGATCRTCAGCTTGAGAAGAGGTAAACTGAGTAAACAGCTGAGCACTTTTGCAAAACCAGACCTCTTAAATGGTTACTTTAGGGGTTGTTGTACACAGCCTTATAGCTCAGTTTTCTCATCAGTAAACTCTCTTGCCTCTTGAAGTTTGGTCAAGGAATCTGTRAAGCTTGCATCCAGACATGTCAAGATGAAGGATTGCAACATACCACAGGATAAAAGGAGTCTTTGTGTTTAGTTTGATAGATTATTTTGCCCTTTTGAAAGTAACCTCTCTTAGCCTAGTGACCACGTTTGTCCTTGCAGGTGGTGGTGCTCCTGGAAGTCCTGAGCTGGGGTCAGCTGGAAGATGACCGAATACAAGCTGGTGGTGGTGGGAGCAGGTGGTGTTGGRAAGAGTGCTTTGACGATACAGCTCATTCAGAACCATTTTGTTGATGAGTATGACCCCACAATAGAGGTAAGTGTGGCGCTGGACATGGGGGTCTGTCCGTGTGAATGTTTTCTTTCCCTTTTGCTTTTCTCCACCTTGTCTCCAACCCGGAGCATGCTCAGTTTGGTCTCAAGTCTGAACTTGAGCAGGGATGTTCCTCTGCTTTGCAGAGCTATTCTGAGTCACTGTGCATGTGTTCAGAGGTCACAGTGACCAACTTACGTCTCCTGCAGAAGGACAGTGGTGTCTGCTGAAGAGAGGTGACATGGGAGGTGGCAGAGCTGGGTAGAGGCTGAGAGGGAGTACAAAAGTCCTCCTTTCTGATGAGATGGCAGCATAGGGAGAGGTSAAAGGTTTCGAATTTAAGAGCCATTTTGTGCCTGTGCTTCCATTTCTCCTCCYGTGAAATCAGAGCAAATATATTGACTTTTTCTGTAGGATGTTTTGAGCTTCACTGATGAAATGGGTTTGATCAGAGCTTGTATTATGTATGTCTTGCAGTTTGAGCAAGATGTGTTGAGCTGCTGAACTATTGTGGCTCCCAGAGTGCTGCCTCTTCTTCACAAGGAGTTAAAGGGTGATGTGTGTGTCTCAGTCGGTGTGGATGGCAGCACTGACCTGTCCAGCTCAGCACCCTGCCTGAACAAGCAGGCAGGGACCCGCTGGTCCTCCCAGGCTGTATGGGGGCAGATGGGGATCCAGTATTCAATATCCATTGTGTTATTATTATTTGCTCAGATTTTAACAAAATATATTCCATTCTCCATCTGCTTTCACCATGGTTAGCGATGTGCTAATTAGCCTCTGCATGACTTACACCTTTGTTGGGTGAGATGTGAGCAGTAGCCACTGCTCTGCATGAGGAGTAAAATCCACCCTGGCAAATTGCAGCTCTGTCATGCCTCCTGGACAATAACTTCCCTGTCTGCAGTCCTAAAGGATTCCCTACCAGATGTGTATAAATGCAGCTGTGGTTGCTGCAGTTACTATTATCATAATGGCTAAAGTCCCCAGCTGGGATGAGAAATCTATTCTGGTAGGTGTTGTATGTGTAGTCCCCACCCAGAAGAGCTTACAACTTACGTAAACAAGTGAGACAAGGCTTGGTGGAAAGGCAGAAATAATCTTACAGTCCTACAGACGGGAAGGAGAGAAAGCACTTAAAAAGCACGTGCTATTACGTCATTTGGCCAAGGTCATCTAGAAAGYCCATGGCAGAGACTGGAATTTAATTAAGGGCTCCTGAGTCTCCTTGCTTATGGATGCAGTTATCTTCTTCCCCAGCTCCTCTCCCCTCATGTGGCTGTCCCCAGTAGGATTGTGTACTTTTCTCAGGAACCCATTCCAGGTTGTTTTTGGCAAAAGAGCTGCTCATGGAGAGCAGCCTTCCTGGGGAGACATCTGTATGGATGCATCCTCTCTTGGACCTTAGGTGGGTAGAGACAACTCTCACCCAGTGATGTGCTGGGTTTTGGCATCCTGTGTTTTTGTCTCCAGCTGCCTGCTCCCCGTACGTACCCTACAGGGAATTTTCTCCATGTAAACAGGCAGCAGGGAATGTAAACCTTGCATGGCATTTCCCAGCACACCCTCCTCACCCTAGCCACTCCTGCAGTGCCYTAGGAGATGCCTGCTCTCTCCTCCACTGTTGCCTCCAGCCCCATTTTGTTCTACTCCCCTTCCAAAAGCTGCTATAAGCTGCTCTTCAGGCCTTTCACCCTGGTACTTGTCCACCTGCAGGTGCCACCACCCTGATGCCTTTGCATCCTTGCTCCCTTGGTTGTACCCCTGCTTCCCCTGATACCCCAGCCAACTACTGATTCATTTCAGGGTGATTCCTTTTAATTAGGCTTCATTTTATGGGGATTTAAGACACAGAGAGCTACCTGCCAGCCATCCAAATGTGACCAACAGACCACCATCCTGTGACTAAGCTGCTTTGGATCATGCCCAGAAGCTGACTATGACTGTTCAGCCAGCTAACAAGGAGCACAGCAATGCTGAAATGAGCAGGATAAAAGTGGGGGAAAAGAGGATACGTGCATGGAGCAAAGGCGTTTTCTGTTGCCCACATGGATTAAGCACAGGCTGTGCTGCAAAGGAGGTACAAGTGGATTGGGGTGCACTGAGAAGATATTCCCCAGGGCAGAAGGGCTGGAGATTTGTCCCCTGGCTGGGACAGAGACCCCGACTGGGTGTCTGCTCTCCTCCTGCCCTCCTGATTTACCAGTGCCAACATTTGGCTGTGTAACTCAACACTGTCCACCCCACTACAGCACACTCTCACAAGTCAGCTCTTGGGCTGCCAAGGAGCATTTGGACCTTTGTTTTGGGGACAGGAGGGCCAAGGCAGCAAGGAAATKTATGTCACTGGCATTGTCCCATGGTGAATAACAGGGATGAACTAAAAAGTTTCACTGTGTTGAGAAATTCTTTGGTTCATCTTGCAGCTCTTAGCAGCTAGCTAGTAATGGGCTTCCCAAACCTCTGGTCATACCCTGACAGTARTGTTTAGCAAATGGACCTCTTGGCCTGTTTCTGCAGCACAGCTCCCAGCATCCAGCTGGGATCCTGAGTTTGAACCCCAAACAGATGTTGTTTCTGCCACCTGGCACTTCACAGTGGGTCCAGCTGTTTTCTCCTCTGCTGAAGGTGGGGTGGCACATGGGGGGTGCAGAGGAGCTGGTAGGGCACTGAGGCTGCACGGTGCTGGTATTAGCTGGTGGCAGCTACCCCTGCAGTGGCAGTCATGTCACCTGGTAGTGTGGCAGGGATAGATGAGCTGCCATCCTGAGCTTCCTGGAGAGGGGGAAGTTGGATAAAGCTGTACAGAAAACATGGATGGGGACAGCTTGTCCCTTTTTTTTTTTCTTTCTGCCAAGCATTCTCTGCAGTATTGTTTTAGGTCTCTGTCTTGTAAGCCAGCTGGCTGGCCTTATGGGCAGCCTGTTGAYGATGTGAGCTGAGATGTGGGATCTTGGGCATGCTGGATGCTGGTGAGACCTCCTGGAACTGGGGACTTGGCAATTAACTGTGAACACGTATGCTGAGAGRCTGGTCCTCTGTACCAACCCAAGGTGCAGAGGTGGGAGGATGCTTTGTGGGGCAGAGGAGGCACTTGGGTCCCCTTGCACCAAGGAGGCTCCAGATACATTATTGATCAGAAATGGGAGCACATTCCTGGAGGGCACCTTGCCAGTTGCCTTCRGAGTGGTTGGCTGGAAGCCAGCCCTTCACTCCATGGTTATTCTCGATGGGTCAGCAGTCCACTTTTTGGGAGGGCACAGCTGAGAAGGTCGTGGCACAGCAGATCTCATCTCTGATTTCACAGCCCTCTCTGCAAGGTGAGGAAAGACTTTCATTAGCCCCAGCAAATGACGTTGTTGTAATGAACCAAAGGATAGAGGCCGTGTTGGCCCCGTTCCCTTTCTGCGCTGCTGCTGATCCTGTTGGTGACCTTTGCTGTGTCAGCTGTTTGTCTGCAGACCTGCAAAGCTCATCTGATAACATTGTGGTCGTTGGAAGAGCAGCCGACATTTGAATTAATTTTAAACTGCAGCAGTAGCCTCTGTGAGTGGCTGCAAAGCACTGTTCGGCTGTACTGCTGACTGGCTGTACCTTTTCCTTACAGTTTGGCTTCCTTCTCTTGCTGAGAGTTGAGSATTCTGCTCTTTCCACAGGGGAGGGCTGTTGGAGAGGGACAGGGATGTCCTCCATGCAGGGGCTGCCCCACAGCATCCCTGCTGGTGAGACTGAGCACAGGGAGAGGCATGGTGGGGAGGAGCAGTGCTTTGAGGAGCCTCCTGTGAAAATGAAACCTTTTGAGGGATGCTCTGGGTGATTTCCAGACCTCCTCACTCATGTGATAAGTTATGATTGCCTCTGCTGCAGGAAAGCCCCCAACTTCAAAGGACCTGCCTGTTCTTACCTCTCCTGAAGCCCTCTGGGCACAGACTGGTTGTGGGAAACACCCTGATTCAAAGTGTGATTTTATTTTCTTCTCATGTTTAAAGAAGAGGTTTACCATCAAACCCAGTTTGAAACCTTACTGGTGGCAAAATTGCCTCTGGTGCCTGATCTGAGATGCATTGGAGGCACTGGATTTCCAGGTCATCTTAGACACCTTCCAGCCATGCAGATCACAGTTCTGGCCAGACACTTCCAGCAGAAGGGCTTAGAGCTGAGACTAAATAATGCTTAGGAAATAGTTGTTGAGGGCTGTGCAGTGTGGTAGAGATGAAGCTGCTCCTGGTCTGCCAGAGGCAGGGCTGGGAATGGAGAGAGCAAGCCGGGAGCTGGTTTTTTTCTCTGTGGTTCTGACAGACAAGGAGAAACCTGCTTAGCTGTTCCCTTTTTCCTTTGGGTTTTTTTTTATTATTATTTTTCCTTTCTCTCCCATTTTTGAAACGGATTGAGTTGTCTCTTTAATGGAAGTTTAACGCAGGCAGAGCATGCCCTGACATCTTCCCAGGGGTGCACTTGATGCATCCCTTTGTTTAGCCAGATCTCCAAGCCCTCCCGTAATGCATCTTCCTCCCTTTCCCTCTCCTGGCCTGCAGGATTCCTACAGAAAGCAAGTAGTCATTGATGGAGAGACCTGCTTGTTAGACATCTTGGACACTGCAGGACAGGAGGAGTACAGTGCCATGAGAGACCAGTACATGAGAACGGGAGAAGGATTCCTGTGTGTCTTTGCCATCAACAACACCAAGTCCTTTGAAGATATTCACCAGTACAGGTCGGTATCCTGACAAGGGGCCTTTCCCTCTTGCCCTGAGCAAACGGGAGGCCTTGCTGCTGCTCTCCCCTGCCCACCCTTTTAGATCAGGCCTGTGATGGAAGCACAGACTGCCAGCAAAGACAATTAGCTCAAGTGGCCATTCCCCAGGGAAGAGACAGAGCAGACGACTAATGTCAGAGACTCCAATAAAACCCTTCCGAAGGGATTGCTTGTGGCCTTTGGGGACCCAGTAATGTAATGTTTAAGTGTTTATGGAGACTAGAGAGCTGATCCTGTATGACCCCCTCCCTTCCCTCCCTAATTAGTGGAATTGCTCTGTTAGCACAATCGATCTCAGCAACTTCTGCTGGCCCCAGAGCTGGAAGAGGAGACTGGGAAATACAGAGAGAGCTGCTTGCCCTGCTGTCTGTCCACTGTCACTGTGGTTTGCCAGCTGCACACACTGTGGAGAGACAGCCCCGCCTCACTGGAGCTTGCTTTCAGCCAGGGCAAAGATGGAGCAGAAGGGGAGTCACAGTTCCAGCAAGATGATTTGCCCAAGATGATGTACGGAGAAAAGGTGACAAAGCAGGGACCCTGTCCTAGCACCCATCCCCCTTCTCCTCTCTGTTGATATCATCCCTGCAGAGCTGGAGAGGCAAGGAGATGATATAAACACAGCAGGAATCTTCCCTGTTCACCCAGTGCTACCTTAGGGAGGGTTCACTCTGTGCCTTTTTCTGAGGCTTGGCTGTGATGGGAGGCACTTCCAGGGGATGCAGGAGATGGCTCTGTCTGTCCCTGCTCTGTCCAATTCCCTACAGGGGACTGTGTATCCCAGTCCGTTATTAGAAACCAGGGTTTCAGTATCCTGTTGCTCCAAGCACAGGTACATTCCTGCTTTGCTTCATAGTCAGAGGTGTTGCYTGGAGCTGCTGGGATGTTTCAGTCTCACCCAAAAGGCTGTTCAGTGTAACAGCTGCACAGATGAACTAATTTGGTTTGTTTCAGTTGAACCAWAGGACAAAGGATGGGATTTTCCTAAAGCACCTGAGGGATTGAGCAGCATTCATCCTTGTGCTGGGGCTGGTGCCTGTGAATTGCTCATAGGATGGCTTGATTTCGAGCCATCATGACCGTGATGTAAATCACTGGCTTTCATCTCCTGTAGACTGTGCTCTTTGTGTTTGCACTTTTAAAAGAATATTCCCCAGAGGAACACTGGCTCTCCCTGTTTAGTAACCATTTGGAGGTATCTCTTTTCAGCTAAGTGTAGCCTGTGCACTAAATTTAGTATACTTGCATTTGCTGATCAGGATGTTACACAGAACATTTAAATGGCTTTATGGCATATCATTTCTATAGTCAGACTTAATTTCTATGTTCTATTACATTAAAAAAAGATGATTGACTCTTTTGTGTGTGCTACATGTCCAGCTGCCTTTGGATGGAGATTTGCATTCAATCAAAATACAGAAATTGGCATATTCAATCTTCTATTAGTTAAATTAAAACCATGTTAAATGTTCCGGATCCATAAGCAAAAAAAAAAAAAMCTGTTTTGCATCTGAAGTCAAATGGTTTATTAAGCAAAGGAAGCTATTATCTGTCAGAAGGGAATTGAATAGTTTGTGGTCATAATGGCCTTTTAAGATTTTTAGAAGTGGTGAATCTCATCCTCGCCCACCTAGTTTTAGATCCAATGTTGGAATAAAGAAGTGAGCACTACAGCTTTTYTAGTTCCCAGTTGGTTTCTCAACTTTGAGTGACCTAAACTAAACTGAAAGGCAGCAAATACTGCATGTGCATCTGCAGAAAAGGTTACAGCTGCCAAAAGCTGCCTTATCAGCTCAGCAAATTCTGTTTGCAAGGGATTTTTTTTTWAAATCTAAAATGTTGGAAATAGTACAGGTAAATGCTTGAGAATTCATTCTTACTTAACTTAAACTACCTTAAACTCATGTCTTAATATAGATTGTCATAATTCAAATTGTTTTGTAAACAGCTGCATTTAAGGAGCAGAAGTATGTTTAGTTTTCATTTCCAGAAGTTTTGCTATTTACTGACTTGTGTGCCCTAGTYATTTACATTTTCCTGAAAGCTCAACACAAGGCACTCAACAGGAGTGAGGGGTAGCTGTCAATTCTTAAAAAGAAGAAACTGGTGGGGAGTGTTGTGGAGCTGCCCCTTCATTCTTCACACCACCTCCTCTTGCAGGGAGCAGATCAAGAGGGTGAAAGACTCAGATGATGTTCCCATGGTGCTGGTGGGGAATAAATGTGACCTCCCGGCTCGGACAGTGGAGACCCGGCAAGCACAGGACCTGGCCCGGAGCTATGGGATCCCCTACATAGAAACGTCTGCCAAAACCAGACAGGTAGGAGGAGGCTTTTAAACAAAATGCTTTTTTTTTCTGCATTGCTGCTCTGGAGGGGTAGGAAAGGGCAAACACCACCTTGCAGACAGATTGGGCAAGGGTTGGGCTTTGTTGCTTCCTCAAGGCTAAATGCTCCCCTGGGATGTTCCCCAATCTGGGCTTGAGTCTCCTGTCAGGAGAAGTGCATCACCATGCTGTGGCAGCAGTGAGGGGAAGATGCCTTCTCAGGGCTTTCTCCAAGGCTCTGGAATRGCCTTCACAGTCACTGCAGGTCAGCTAAGCTCAGGTCACTGGGCTAACCTTATCCATGGTCTATTTTGGCAGACCTACAGGCAGAATATACCAGTGCTGGGAGGATCATGTGGGGTCCCAGAGCACAAAGGTGGAAATGCAACAGCTGACACCTTCAGTAGTCCAGTGGTGGCTTTTCCCTTGGGTGGCAGACTTCATTCAGACTGCTGAGAGCTGATGAATCTCAGAGACTTGAGAGCTCCTTGTCCTCGTGGTTGCTCATTCAATCTTGCTCTCTGTTCAAGGGCCACATTCCGGTCCCTGTTAGTCCTCCCAGCTTGATTCTGTACCTTTAACTCTGCAATCTGCACTGCTGGGAGACAGCACTAGGGATGTTTGCTGGGGAGAAGAGGTCTCTCTCTACTGTCCCTCCTCAGAGGGGGCAACTGCTTCAAGCCATCCGTTTTCCCCAGGGCGTTGAGGATGCCTTCTACACCTTGGTGCGGGAGATCCGGCAGCATAAGCTGCGCAAGCTGAATCCCCCGGATGAGAGCGGCCCTGGCTGCATGAACTGTAAATGTGTGGTATCGTGACTATGGTAAGTGGTGGGAACACGAGATGGGGTGCAGTGGAGGTTATACTGGAAGCAGGAAATGGGGGAATGTTGGAAGAAGGACAGGAGGTGACTGCAGGTGCACTCATCTAGAAACAAATACTGCAGGAACAATTTCAGCAGTCRGTATTTTTTAATGAAACACCTTTTGGATTAAAATAGCATTTTTCTGTCACAACATGGGTAAGTCAAAATTCCCACTTTCCTGAGGAAGTGTGTGGCAGGAAAGGGTTGTTTATTTTTCCCCCTCATTTTGTGCAACAAAATTCTATACGACTGTATTTCCCCAGGAAAAGCTTCTTCCCATGCTGCTGCTCTGAAAGAGGAGTTTAAGATGGTGTTGAAGGTGTACAGATCATTGCATGCTCACCAGACTGGCTCTAGAAGAGCTCAGATGAAGAKCTGGGTGGGTGCATTGCCTCCTAATGCATTCACATAAATTGCCTCATCCTAAAGCTTTAGAGCAGACCTGTCTCACTGTGAAAGTCCTGTGTYCCTCAGAAGAGTGTTCCCCATTAGATATATCCCATGGGATATTTGGAACTGATGCAATGTTGAGAACTAGCCATAAGGGGGCTGTTTGCTTTTATAAATTGTGCATGTTGGAGCCAGAAACAGTGTTTTTCAGATTGTTTATGTTCACTTGCCTGTTCTTTCCTCTTTTTTTTAATGATGAGTTTATTTAAAACACTGTTGGATAGCAGTCAGGGAGAGCTCCTATTGTTGTCCYTGCATGTGCTGGCTAGCCTTAAGTGAAAGGTCTGAGAATATCAGTCTATACAACCAACTCTTTCCATGGCAGAAATGTAGAGAGGGGAAATTGGGGATGAGTGCATCAGGGAGTTCTGTATATAAGGACATGTGAGACTGGGCTATGGCAGAAAAGCCTGCATGAACATTGCCCTTGTCTTTTGGGGAGTCTACCAAGCTCCTGGACTGGCCCTTCACCCCTTACAACAAMTGCTGGAGTCCTAAAGAGAAGTGCACTGTATCCAGAGATGGTTTTAAGAGGGTCTCTTAACACCTCTCTCTGAAGGTAGAGATGGGCAGCTGGCTCCTTCGGATGCTTTTTGAGCTAGAGACTGGGAGCACAGCAGAGCTCTTCCTYCTACCCCTCACTCCCAAGGAAAAGAAAAGCCAAAACAGTGCTGGCAACATTTGCTTCCTATGAGCTAAAACCCACCCAGCACCCCACCCCTCCTCTCCCAGCTGAGGCATGTAAGGTCGGCTGGGGGCCGAGCTGAATGCTGTGCCCAGCACACTTATCACTGCTAAGGGAGATTTTCCAGATGTTTGTGTCCTCCAGATGTTCAGGAGCGTTTCCTCCGGATGGGGATATGAGCTCAAGGCTTGTTTCCTGCTCTGGCTCACAGCTGACGGCATGGGCTTGGCAGGCACTGCTGCTCTCTTACACTGACTGCCAGGAGCCCAAGCCCTGTCACAGCCTGGTGGCAGCAGCAGTGTGGGCAAGAAGGGCTGCGAAAGAGTCACTTGGAATCACTCCTTTCTGTTAGGAGAACATGCCCTGCAAGTTGCCTGTATCTTTTTTTGGTCAGGCAGAAACTGGAAACCAGACATCCCAGCTTAATCTAGCTGCAGTGACCAATAGCAGAGCGGGAAGATCATCAAGGCACAAAAGGAGAAGGGAAGCAAAGACTTGCTGGGATTTGGGGAGCTAAAGGGTGTGTTTGTGGCAAATAAACTTTGGCTGCATTTTGCTCTGGGCTCATTTTGTGGTTCCTATGATCCCTGGAGGAGGTGGAAAGATCTTGCCAGTGTCCCTTCCCACAAGGAGGTTCAGAGGCAGAAAATCTGGTGAGGTGCCTGAGGCTCACCCATCGCGCCACTGACTCCAAGGCTTGTTCCTTTCAGCAGATGTGCAGATGCTTTGCTGAGCCAGGCCAACACTTCTAAGACCTGTGTAGCCTTTCACTTTTCCTCTGTGGGCACTAATGGGGTCATCCCAAATTGTGAGGGGTGACTACTGCAAACAGTACTGCTGGTTCTGATGGGGAATGGCTGCTAATGAGTGTTCTCTTCTGTTTCAGCTGATTGGACCATGTCTTGGAGAGGTTCCCACTGTGCAGTGCGCAAGGAAAGAGGTGAAGCGAAGGAAGATGCAAATGGATTCAGAGGAGTATAGAGAGGGGGAGAGGAGGAGGAGGAAGAGGACAGGGGGAGCATGACCTCCTCCAAGGACTATCTCGCACTTCACCCAAGCCTGCGGCAAACAACATTTTTTTTTCTTTTTTTTTTTTTTTATCCCCATCCCCTCATCCTTTGGCCTCCTCCCATTCTGGCAACTGTACAAAACCACAGATTGAATCACAGTAAATTATTATTTGATCGTCTCAACAAATCACCTTGATGGCTGTGTCCTCCTTCCAGAGGCTGCTGCTGGTGCTCCGAAGGATCGCTGGTGGGATGGCGGGGAGGAAAGGGTGCTGAGATTTGCTCTCCACAGACCAAGGTCAAGCTGTAGATCATGGAGGTGATTGGGGTGGGAGAGATAAGCTCTCTTTTAGGGCAACATAATTTGTCTCTTGTCTCCAGCAAATTTTTGTCATGTCCTCCCCAGCCTACCCGAAACCCTTCATTGGCCCCACATTTTGGTAGGGTGGAAGAGTGCAACCAGTCAAAGCCCATCCTTTGGCACTCCCTTGAGTACTTTGCATTCAGCCTATCCTTGTGGGATTTATGGCCTCAGATGCAATGCCTGAAAGGGAAGATGCATCAGGGAGGAGATCCAAGAGTTGGGTTCACCTCGGCTGGTACCAGTTTGCTGTATCCCTGACACCTTTCATGGCATCTCTTTCTGGCACAAGACCTCCATGATGTGTTGTGCTCCAGAGGTAGAATGAGGCCTTTTTGGATCCCTCCAGCACCTGTCTATGCTAACAGCTGTACAGCACCTGTTAGCTGTACTAACACCTGTATAGCACCTGTATATTCCTTGGGCTGCTCCAGTATGTACAGGTAAGCAAATCCTTATCTGCCCTGTGCACGGCTTCGTTACTGGTGAGCACATCAAGAAGGGCTCTCCTGCACTGCAGAAGCTGTCTGCCTGGTCAGCAACTAAGTCAAAAGGATTCAGGCTTCTAGTCCTTGAGTTTAGAGTGGTTAAGAGTGTTTTGGATAAGGGTGAATTTGCTGGGAACCCCGTCTTTGCTCAGCTCTGCTCCTTTGGGGTTTTTGCCTGAGATCTGACCCATGTGCCTTTCACTTGCAGCCCCAAGACAAGGTACTGCACTCAGTGCAGCAGGTGGCTTGGTTCTTGCTGCCTTTCCCTCTCCCAAGCTATTGCATAGGCTAATTTAGCTGGCATTCAGAATTAGGAGCATCAAAGGAGGAAGGTGATCCAGCTGAGTGCGGGAGGGAGCTGTTCTGCATGGGCTAGCCCAGGCCTGAAGAGGTGCTGGGTTTGGCAGCCAAGGCTGGACTGGCTTGGGAGCGGAGAGGGTGGTGTATGAGTCACAAAGCTCACATGGCAAAACCAGTAGAGAAACCCTGGYGACCCCCAGCACAAAGCCACAGCCCACCCAGAGCTTCCCAGCATCCATGCAGGCAGCCCCCCATCCCACTTCCCATGCTCTGTCTTGCCAGGCAGCAGTAGAAGAAAGCAGAATTCAACTCCCATGCTGCTTGGGGGTGCTGCCTTTGCTTTTGGCCTGGGCAAGAGAGGACTTGTGCTAATGGCTTGCTTTTTGTACATGCATGCTCTGAACTGCTTTGGGGCACAGCCCCCACCCTGGCTGCAGTTGCCTGGCACCCTGTTCCTGCAGGAGAAGGGCTGATACCAGCTGGAGTGGGAGAAGTTGCCCAAGGGGAGAGTGCCCTGCCTTTAGCTGGGTGTGCTGTTTGCTGCTTGTCCCTGTGCTGGAAGATTGCTGAAGATGCTAAGCCTGGTGTTACATGGCAGGGCTGGACCAGAGACTCCCAGAACCTCCTGTCCTGAGTTGGTTCAAGTGAAGCCTGGAAGTGTGGGGTTTGTTCCTAAGTTGGCAGCTTGTGCTCAACTGGCCACAGGACAGAGGGCAGGGGTGCTTTGTCCTTCTAGAAGATGACATGGGGGTTGGCATGGGGACTCTTCCTTGGTAGTGTTACTGCTAGGAACCTGGTGTTCTTCATATGCAGCAGAATTTATTCCGTCCTTCCCCAGGCACTTGGTGAAGGATGGGGAGCTTTGTCTGGAAGCCTTCAGAGGTGATGTAACACTATGGGACTCTCTGAAGGACTGGATGGCTCAAACCACTGAGAGTTTTCTCTCATGTCTGGCTGTGAGCCAAATGCCACAAAGACTGGGAGCTGTGGCCAAGGAAGCTGAAAACCTCCAAGGAGCATCAGGGAGGTGTCTTCACAAGGCAGGCAACAGCTGCAGGTCCAAGAAACTGGCAGACCTTGGTGAGGGTGTGCTAGAACACCACTGGCCAGAATACAAACTATTTCAAGTGTGGTCAGGAGCAAGAAGCTGAAGTGGGAACATCTCCYTTCCAGAGAAGTTTCTGCACCTGGGATAAAGTTTTCAAGCTTATAAAACAGCTGGTCAATAACAGACCATCAGCAGAGCTGGTTAGCTTTCTGCTGTAATTAGGTCACAAGAAACTCAGACATGGATCAATGTTAAAGTTCACGATAAAAGCTGGGAGATAAGTTGGGAGCCAAAGGAGCTGTTAAAAGTGTGACACCACAGCTCTTCTTAAACCAGGTATTAATTGTGTATTAATATTGTACTGCATCTTTGTTCCAGGAGAAAAATCACAACAGATCAAGATACATCAGCTGTGATCTGGTCTGATCTTTGCTRTTGGCAGAAACCAGATTGTATCACTTCTCTCAGGTGAAGCTGTTACTTTGGACTTAGATTTTTCACTTGCTGCCTTGGTGCTGGTAATTTGGGCACAGGACAGCAACTTGCTGGCCCRTGACAAGCAGGAAGTCAGTATGTGAGCACACGATGTATATTCTCTGCTAGCTGAACTTCTTGAGTCTGAGAGTAATTCCAAGATTAGTTTCACTGGAGTGAATGTTGGTTTGGAGAAGAAACTGAGGAGTTGATTTTTACCATAGTTATTCAAGGCACATTTGTTCTAGAAGTACTTGGACTGGAAGATGCAGTTGTTTCCCTTATAATGAGGAGCTTGTTGCATACCTCAGTTCTGCTTCCGTGGAATGAACTCAGGTGAGCAGAATGTACAATTATTCTGATTATTCCTGCTGCATAGCTGAAGCTGGAAGAGTCCACAGAGGTGAGCTTTCTGCTATATTTGAGTACATCAGCTCATCTCTGGCTGTTGTGATCTCTTCAGCTGGTCATGGCAAGGCTCAACTAAACTTGGTGCTGTGCTGTGGATTTCCAGTCAGTGGAAGAGGCTTCAGTCAGGATCCTACTGAAATGTTGAGACTGCATGTCCCATGATGGAGGAGTGCCACCTTTGAACCYGTACTTAAATAACAGAATAGCTGACAAGGTCTGGTCTAGTCTGGTCAGGTCCGGATGTCTCAGGACAGGCGTACAAATTTTTCTCTCACATCATTCAAGTGCYCCACACCCTGTTACAGAGGGGTTGGGGCTCCAGAGACAGCATAGCTGAGTCAACTGATAGAATTGCTTACAAGTCCTTAAAAATGCTGATTAAGTGCTGGAACACATCTCATGCCTTTTGGTCTGTGAGGGCTTCCACAGGAACCTTCTAAGCCGACAGAGAGGGTGACTCCAAACACATGGTGCTTTGCTGGGGGCTTTGGCAAGGACCTGAGTTCAGCAGGAGCTGGCAGCAATGACTCTGCTGGAGTGAGACCTGAGATGTGAGTGTGGTGGGAGCAGCTGAATGAAAGGCTGGGTTTTATGAAGCAGCCTTGGCTAAATGCTGGTGTCATCCTCCTCACCTGCAGTGTGGTTGGGTAAAGAGGAGCAGACCAGATTTCCCTTCTGGACTACAGCCACTACTGCAGACCTTTCCAGCCTAAGCAGTACTTTTCTGTCACCTCTTGCCTCCACCATAAAGGTAAGCAAAGCCACCCAAGAAACAGCTTTCCCAAGCCTGAGGTTATCTAAATCTGTAGGCTTTAGATGTTCCAGGAACAGGGCTCTGATCTGAGGCCAGGTTGAGAGGTCTCTAGAGCACCAGAGTAGCCCAGGCTCTTCATGGGATGGTTGGAAGCAGGAGCTTGTGGTATTGCATCCAATATATCCACAGGTACCGTGGGCTGAATACAGGTTTCCTGGCTTAGGAGAGCCAAGGTACCAGCTCCAGCCAGGGCTACTGGGGCTGGGATGCATGCCTTGCACTCCTGGCGCCCTTGCTCTGCTCCCCAAGTCYCAGCCACTGCTGCCACTGCCCCTCTGCAGCACACAAGGAGCACAAGGAAAAGCACAACAGTAGCACAACAGCAACYGCTCCAGGTGCCACAGCAGCAGGGAACAGCACAGCAGCACCACCGTGGCCGCAGGACGTGATACACGTGAGCAGCAGGTGAGCAGCACAGCAAGCCCAAGAGAAGGAACACTTCCGGGCCCAGCCAAACTCCAACTTGTCTCTGCCAAACTGGCTGGGGTACAAAGCTGCCAGACACAGCACACCCCTCTCCCTCCCCGCTGCTGTATCCTGGGAGCACAGCCTAAACCAGCACAAAGCCTTGCTCCTTCCCTCAGCTTGGCTCTACTCCAGGCTCTACTTAGCATCAATTATTCAGTGCCGACTGCCTGAAGCCTTTCAGAGGCACGCAGGGGTTGATGAGCTTTCGATGTCGTGGGAGATGGGCAGGGGTGGTGACGAGCACAGCCAGGCGTGGCAGAGAGCCAGCAAGCAGCGATAACAGCGGTGGTCACCCGCCTGTCCCAGCTCCTGTTGTTGGTTTGGCTRTTCCTGAGCCAGGAAGGATAGGAGCCATAGGGGGCTGCCAGAGCACCTGAGCGAAGAACAGCTTGAGGAGTTTGCAGTTCTTCCTTGGAGACTGGCCTTGGGAGCTGGAGAGCTGGTGTGACGACAACAGTGGCTCCACCAGGGAAAGTGGGATAGGGAATACTGGCAGATACAAAGGGCAGAGGGAGAGGCTGTGGGAAGACCAGTCCCTAGCTGAGAACAGCACTAGAGTTTAAGCAGCAGCCTCAGTAACATCTACAGCATTCATTTGCTACTGGTTCCAGTGCTGTTCAGAAAGTGGCTGTCTGTAACATTGGGCTTATGAGATTGTCCTCTTTGTCCCCTCCGGGGGGGACAGGAGAGGACAAGGGGTACTGCTGGAATGATGTAGGGGCTGTCTACCCTGCCATCCCCTCAGGGACATGAGCACGCCCCGTGCTGGCATCTCCCTGCTGCAGGGGCCATGCCATGACCTGGTGCTCCCGGCAGCAGCTGGGACCAGACATTGGACCAGGCATTAGTCCAGGCTGGACACCCCAAGGTCTTTCAGTGCTCTAGTAAYGGAGGGAGGGCTTAGGCTTTACCTGTGGGCAAGTCCCAGGGTGGCCTCCCCCTGGGAAGGACTCTGCAGTGGGTGCCTGGCACCCCGAACCCCTACCCAGGAGCCCCATAAAGCACCAATTCAAGGCTGGGTACCTCTGTGGCTCCTGCATTCGTGGAGGAATGCTGTCAGAGGAGGTGGTGGAGCCGTGCCTGTCCCTGGTCCCTGCGGGGACAGAGTGAGTGTACCACAGCCATGAGCCCCCATGCAGGGAGTCTGAGGATTAAGGATACCAATAAGCAGTATCTTACTCCTTTTTTTTTCCCTAAAACCAATTGAACCAAGGCTATTTAATGGAGGAATATAACCCTCCAACCTAGCACAATTCACCTTGCCTTGRGGAAACGACCCTTCTGGACACGTCTGCTCTCTCCTTGGCAGAGATGCTGTTTTAGCAGTTGGATAAATGTCATCTAAACTCTGCACTGCCTGTCATGTAAGTAACCATGGCAGATGTTCAAACGTGGCCCCACCTGGCACTGCCTGAGAGTCAACAGGTTCACAGGGGCTGGTGGCTGGGAGGTGACACAAAGCAGCTTGTGCAACAGGGCTGCTTGTGAGCATCTGGAGCATGGGAGGGATGAAGTCTGCTTCACTCCAGCCTAGGGATCTCACCCTTGCTCATGGTACTGCATCCCTGTGCTGGCATCCAGTGTGAAATGGCACAGGAGATGTGCCAAGAGCTGCATTCTCAGAGCACTCCTGTACCAGCAAACATTGTGGTGCTTAGTGTGGTTTTTCTGCAGTGTTGCAGTTAATATAAATGAGCTAATATAAGGGCWCTGGAGAACAATTTTTGTTCCTGTTTGACCGCTTGGGTGAGGCAGGGCAGTGATAGCAGGTGACATAGGGGGATGCCAATTTCAGGCACTGCTCATAACTCCAAGGGTGGCATTTAGCTAATTCGGTCAGTCTTCGTGCCCTGTGTGCTGCTCTGGCAGAGACAGATGCCCTGTGTTTACCATAAACGTGATGCTTAAGACCAAGTGGCCGCTTTCTCTCAGGGGAGCCAGAACACTGTTCACATGTAACACCTCAAAGGCAACAGCACCATGGTTATCTAAGCCCAGGAAGTCCTGGGCACGAAATCTGGGGTGTGTCAGAGGTACTGCTCACTCACAGCTTTTGAAAATTCATTTTCAGCTGTCAGCAGCACCACCTTATGCTCCCAGTGACTGCTGTAAACGTGACTCAGCCSTGACTCACGAGTGTGAGTCACACTCACCCACCCACCTGCTGTGCAAGGAGCTGTGTCCACCCGCTCCGTGTCCTGTCCAACCCTCCCTACACTGCCTATGGGCAGGAAAACAAACTTCAAGCACAGAATCTTGGCCAAAAAAAGAAGCTTCAGCAATACCACTAAGCAGCAGCTGTGTGTCAGAAGGGATGCTGCCCTTTGCTCAGCTGGGAAAGGATGGTAAGTAGAAAGGAACATTTTTCTTTAGGCTGCTACTGGAGATGCCTGGATTTAACTACTGTAGAAAATCTGGGAGGAAAGCAGAGATGGGGCAGGATCAACCTGTTGCAGCTGAAGCATATCCAGTGAACCTGAAGCTAAAAGTCATCAGAAGGCAGCCAGCCTTGCTGCAGCTTCTATCCCTATAAGAAACCTTGTGGAGTCTGAATTTATGCTAAACTTCTTTAACCGTTATTATTACAACCATGTAAAACACAGCATCAAACACTCTGGACAGTTTGGATCAGTGTAAAAAGGAATGAYTGACTTCCCAAAAAAGCCTTCCTTTAAAAAACCAACCAAATAAAAATGCACAGACATAAAAATGTTGGGTTTTTAAGTAATAATTATAATACATTAGAAAGAGTCATGGAGGAAGCGTTCCACGCTGTAAACAAGAATAGCAAATAAAAAGAAAAGCAGAGGGTAGCTAGGCTCTCAAAAGTGCAYGGCAGAGAAACCCTGACCTCAACTTCTGGCCCCTGATGGAGCTGGGTCCTGTGGCTCCTGCTGCCTGCCAGTGCTGCAACCACTCAAAGTGCTCAATCACAAACAAACAACACAAAGAAAAACAAACCAAACCTAAAATAACCCAAACCCAAGTCCAAAGCGATGGACTTTACCTCTACATGGAAGGCAGCAAGGCCAGCGTCATCTCAGGGCTGCGAGGGTAAGGACGGGGGGAGCTGCTTTCCCATGTTTGCTCACAGCAAGAGTGGCTTTTGCTGAGGGGCTGAGACTGTTGCAGGAGGCTAGGAAGGGCTGCAAGTGACTTGGGCCAGTTAATTTGTCCTGCTGCACTGCCACCCTCATCCTTCTTCCTTTCCTAGTCCCAGAAAAAAAGCTGAGGCTGGGCCAGGCCTTGCTGCCACAGACCCACCATGGCTGCAGCTTTGTCTGCAGCAAGGGGCAGAGGGGGAGATGGGAGGGGGATCACGTGTTGATGTGCTGAAGTGACAGCATCACACCAAAGCGATGCATGGTGCTGGCTCCCAGCCAGCTGGGGCAGAGGGCCTCTTCCCAAACCTATCAGCTTKCAGAGCCTACAGGTTGGAGAAGAGTTTCTTAGGTGGCAAAGTAAGGAGCTTGGAGACCTTCCCAGCAAGAAGCACACTGGTAGGAAAGGGGAGCCTGTGTCCAAAAGTTCCTGAAACCAGCTGATGGTTTCCCCCAGGCCTGRAGGTGACCGAGGCCCTTGCTGCTCATTCCTATTAGGCTTGGAAGGAAGGACAACCCCCAACCCTTGCCCCTCAAAATTCATGTTGAACATCACACACCAAACCCCATGCAATGAGTACTGTGCATTGACAGCTCTGCAAAATTAGAGCAAACCACCTTTTTAAATGTTAATACTGCAAAACATCCCACACACACAGCGAGTGAGGAGCCTGAATGCACAACTGACATGATGTGCAAAGGCTGTGTGCCTGAAATGAGGGGAAATGGGTCAAAAGGAGGGGAAAGAGGTCTCAGCTCTTGCATGAGTGATGCTCAGATGTGTTAGAAGGAATTCTATGTGGGCTTCAAGGACAGAACCCCAAGCCACAGCAGCCAAGCTGACATGTGACTAAAAGCCTTCAGGTCCTTCCTGTTGCTTCCCAGCAAGCTCCAGCAGCCAATGGGCAAAAGGCAATGGATATCTGTCCTGAAATACTGCTCAGGTATTGTAACACACAAATAGATTAACCTATGCACAGTTACGGAAAAACATACTCTAAATTAAAAACAACTCAAGCACCATTGTCCTACAAAGGACCTCTGGTGTCTCAAAACACAAACACTGAACATTCAAAGAGCACTTTTCCTCAAACAGCAATGCTCAACTCCTCACAACACCCCTGCGAGGTAGCTAATAGGGTTATCCCTGCTCTGCAGAGGGAGAGGATGGGCAAGGTTGGAGGCTCAGCGGAAGATGGGGTCTGGGACAGAGCTGGGGCTGCAATGAAAGCTGAGGGTGCTGTGGTCTGGCTGGCTACATCCAAAGAAACATCCAGTCTTCCCTTCAACACTCCCTGCTGCAAACATAAACCACCACACATACACAAGGCAAAATAAATCCTGATAAATCACAGAACCATAGAATATGTTGAGCTGGAAGGAATCCACAGGGATCATCAAATCCAGCTCCTGGAACCCACAAGGTAATTTAGTGGAAGTTTACTGCTGGGCTTTCAGGTAGGCTTTAGATCAGGTTATGCAATAGAAGMAAGCCTGTGAGATAAATAGTTTTCCAAGTCTCCTTAGAACTTTAAGAAGCTTTTGCCCAGGGTCTCTGCTGAGGGGATAGGAATCCCATTTGCAGTCCCTCCAAAGGTGGCACTTGCACCACCSTTTCCAGACAGCAGCATTAAATCCAGCGTATCTGGACTACTTCCTATTTTTTCACTGATCTGCCTTCGTGATGAAGTGCCTTCACCTCTGGGGTGAAGTAGATGCTGGAACCAGAATTCTAGAYCAGCTCTTTTCATGGGGTGTCTCCCCAGGTCTGTGCACACCTCCAGCCAATGGCTTGGGCTGTGCAGCAGCAGCACCCTGGGATGGGGAGGAGATGGACAGGCCTCTAGGACCTGTTGCTTGATGGGCAAACKGGCATGTGAGCCACCCATCATGCCCAAGTTTCCTTCCTACTGGTAACTCTGTGTGGGCTCAGCCAGAAGGGCTAAGACCAGGTTCTGGGCAATGTGCTCCCCCTTCCCCAATTCCTATGCGCTTTTCCACCCTGACACTTAACTTACTCAAAGCAAAAGTGGACTTATCTGGGGCACTGTGATTAGATGCCATCACACCTCCAGCAGCTTGGTAGTGCAGGCAGGTTTCCCGAGCCAGCAGCTCTCCTTTTCCTGTTTGGGGAACAGAAAGGCAGCGAGCCTGCTCGCYGCACTGGCCCTGTGAGGGAAAGGCTAGCAGGAAGGGCACTCAGCCCAAGAGACCAGGCTCCGCCTTCATCACTGTCCTTGTCACCTTGAGAACCTGGGAAATAACCACTGTGCTGGCAGTCCCCCACCAGGGTGACACCCAAGGTGATATCAGAGGGACTCAGCAGCTGTTAAATATGTCCTTCCTGGATATCCATCGGCAGCAGGAGCCAGATACAGCTGGGCACTGCTTTGTGGAATTGCATAGAGGGGGCAGCGGGCTGGCCTGTGTCCTGCCAGGATGCCATGGCACTGCCTGGAAATCCTGCTACCTACAACTGCAGGTCTGGGGAATGAAATAAAGATCTATTGCTACAAAGGTCATTGAAAGCAATTCTGTGGCTGCACCAATGGGGACATTTTAAAGAAAGCATTTCGGACTCAGACACCTTGTGCCTGCTTCCATGGCYGTGGTTTCCCATGGCAGGCAGGAGCAGGAGAAAGCACACAACACACCAGCCCTGCCTCTTCCCCCAAGCAATGAGGCTAGGGGAGCTTTGAGGAACAAAAAAATGAAAGCATTTTCCAATTTGTCCATAAGAAACATGCAAATCCAATCTGCTGGTGTCTCCTAGTGCTGGTGGCCACTGCTTCATCTTCTCRCTGGGCATTCGTACCAAAGCACAGCTTGACGTGCAATGGTGCTGTGCTGTCACCCCGACAGCCCTGCTGACAGAAGGGGATCCTGCAGATGGGGCAAGGGTGCTGCTCCAGAGCCTGCTTCTTCTCCCTCACCTTCCCCATCCCCACTAGAATGTCACTGATTTGGGCAGCTTTGCCAGAGAAGGAGAGCCTGAAAGGAAACTGTTCTCTGAGTGTGATTTGGCAACCTGTGGYGGTAATTTTGGTTTGGGACTCAGTGGGGGTCGTGGGGCTTTCAGTGCATTTAATGGTTTCTGGAGGCTTTTCTGGACCTCCATCTCCTCTGAGTCCGCCATAAGTGGTGGTTGCAAGAAGGCTGAAGGCAGGGGATGTCCAGTCTCTGACAGAGGTAATGCCACCTGCTTTCTGTTCAAGAAGTCCTGCTCTGTTGCATGGGCCAGGTGGAGGGGAGTGGTGGTTTTGATAACGACATAGGGGCTGTTCCCTTCTACCACGGGGGACGGTGTCCGCTGGCTGGGGCAGCCCTCGGCCAGCCCTGCTGCCTCCGGCTCTCTGCTGGACAAGGTGGGCACACTGCCCCCCGCCTGCCTGCGCACAGCCAGCGCGCCCATGGCCTCAGGCCAGTGCCTAGTGCCGGTGGCACTGCCCAGCCCGTTGTGCTGCAGGCTGAGGAGCTCTCCTGTGGATGCAGCTTTGGATGCCGAGCGCTTCAGGCCCGTGTCACCCGGCAGCACTGCCCCGCAGTGTCTGTCTGCCGCCTCCCCATGCTCGCTCTCAGGGGAGCCATCGCTCTGTGACTCGCAGGAGAGCCGCCGGGATCCAGCCGGCAGAGGATGGAGCGGTGCATCGAGCACTGCGTCTCTGCCAAGGGAAGATGTCTGTTCTCCCAGCRGCAGGGCAGCAGCATTTGGCTGCCACACTGCGTGGTCCACAGTGGAAAGCTCAGTGGTGCTCAAGTCGGGAGGAGCCAGCCTGTTTTGGAGAGAGGAGTCTAAAGAACTGTGCTCAGCTGGGGCATGGAGGGAGACTCCATGGTCCACCATGGCACAGCCAGGAGCACGAAGAGGCTGCTCTGGAGGCAGGACTGTGGGCAGGAGGTGTTGCTGAGCCTGTGTCTCGCTTGCCTTGAGAAGAGATGATGGCTGCCCATCCATGATGGCCTCCAYCTGACCCTCCTCATCCAGTGGCTGCCCATCTGGAGGAGGCACRTTCATTGCTTCAGCTGCTTCACCGCCCTGGAAGGTGGGAATCCTCGCTTCCACCACCGTCATTCCTCCTGGTGCACCAGGAACTCTGTGGGGCTGGGGCTCCCTATCTGGAGTGTGTTCACCCACTCGTCCATTCTGGCCATTGGCCGCTGCATTTTCCTTTAAGGCTACTGGGTTGAGGGAGAGCTCCAAGCCCAGGGGTTTCCTTGGAAACTCTTCAGGTTTTGCTGCATTGGAAGCAGAGACAACAAARTAAAACCCAAACTGTGCATCAGTTCGTTTTTGCACACCCTGAATGTGAGGAAGACAGATGCTTCCACCCAACAGGTGCCAGCCCTTCCACGCTGCCCCAGCTCCCAGCCACACCAGTGGGATACTCTGGTCCCTGCTGGGCCACCCACCTTCCCCTCTACCCACCTGGTGGGGGCAAGTCAAATTTCATCTTGCGCAGTTCAGTCATTGACACCTGCAGCTGCTCAATGACAGCATCGTCCTCATACTGCAGGGAAGCAGCAATTTTCTCCTGCAGAAATTCACGTAAATCTTCCAGTGTCATCTTCAGCAAGCGCTCTGGGGGATGGGAAAAAGGAGTAATGGTARTGGCACAGACAAATTGCAGGGTAGCACTAGCATGGCTTACACCWTGCTTTGGTTTTATCTGGGATTCTGGTGCTGTTCCTACTCCAGTGAGACAGCCTAAACACTTCTGCCTCTCAGCCACATTGTCACTGTTGTTCAGGGTCATCAACACATGTACATATCCACACCACCTCAGCACTAGCTCCACAGTGGCAGGACAAAGGCAGGGCCGGGAGCTGTGCTAACGAGGGTGCAGGTTTTGGGCCATTTCTGCAAGTTCTCACCAATGCCTCTAGGAGGAGGAAAAGCTCCATGAGACAGGCCCTGAGCGTTGGGCTGAACAGCCACCACCAGTCACCACTAGCTGCCACYACCAGCCAGGGAACCCAGCCTGCACCAGCCAACAGGCAGGGATGCAGGAAGAGGTACTGGCCCTCACCAGGATTGCGACAGGGGTGGGATACAGGCAGGAACGAGTTGCAGGGAGGGATGCCAATCTGCACCACACATTCCTTAGAGAGGAKATTTCACAGCCAGACTGAAAGTCTGCCTGCCTGCCAGTTTCCCACTTTTTGCAGACAAATAGGATACTTCAAGATTTATTTCTGGATAGCCTGTTCCTCATTTAACAGAAKGAAGAGCAGGGTGGCTGTTTACAGAAGCTAGCACATGCAGTCCCATAAATCCCGCTGGCCCAAAAGTTCTCATCATGCACTCCTGCCCCAAATGAAGGCCAAAAGAGTGACAGAACAAGGCTATCAACTTCTGGGAGTGAAGAGGTTAAAAATTACAAAGATCTTGAGRTAGAAACATCACTGCCTTCATGTTATGCAAGAAAACCAGGTTTCCATCATTTTAGAAGTATATTAATGGATGTACTTCTCCCTCCACAGCCTTTTCAGTTGAACCACTACATAAAGATGGGTTGCTTGTCTGTATTGCCCCCAAAAGCTTCTTGACAGAATATGTGGGGCACAGCACACAGGAAGAGGCAGCTGGGAGCATTTTAGGTGCGGTTTTGGTGTGCTGAGCACAGCAAGTCAACACTTRCAGCATCTCATTTCCTCCCTGGAGCATCAGCTCAGGACTATGCCTTTTGCAGCCAGCACAGGGCACCAAGAAGGCTGGAAGTGGCCAGCAAGGCTTTCCACATCAGCAGCAACAAGGGTGGCCCAGCACAGTGCCACCACAGCACAGGGGACGCAGTCAGGTGAGACCTTACTTTTGTGAAGTTTGAGGATGGTGTAAGCCATGGCTGTCAGCACCCGCTCTCCTTCCAGGATGTAGATATCCCAGAGCCGCAAGGTCAAGGTGAACGGGGTCTGTTTCAAGCACACAGACAAATACACAAATGGGATGATGATACAGAGGCTGCTGCCATTCCTTTGCACCAAAACACACAACAGTGCTAGGCTCYGCAAGTCAGGAATTCGTCTAAAACACTAAAATGTCTTTTATCGTCTATGGTTTTGCCTTAAAGCTAATGAACTTGGGCAGCTGGGAAAATACTTAAAACCTATCCATAAGTGCAGAAAAAGGAGAAACTTTCCACACAAGCATGCTAGCACATGGATTACCCTGCCCTGAAGGGAGCACCATCGTCTTTCAGCKTTGTGAGCACAAAAACCTCCTGTATCCATCCAGATTTCCCAGAAGGGCTATTTATGGGGCAGGTCTGAAAGCTGATGCCTCACTAAGCATTAAAAAATTATTAATTTGGTGTCCAAAGAAAAGGTGTTCCTTATACAGAGGCTTATTTCTACSTGCTAAACACCTCTGCAAGAGGTTTTCATTTGCACTCAGACCCAATATGACAAACAGGTTTGAAGTGATACCCAAAATACGGAGCAGCCCATACCTCCCAGCAAAGACCAAAGGCACCTCACCAATACAGAAATTAATATGAGTCCTACTGTGATGTTTAATCCAAACTTAGGATACTGCACTTGCTCTCCAGAGTCTGGCAGGACTAAGAAYTGCGGCTCTTTTACCACATGGTATTGCAGTTACAGGGATTTTGCAAGCTTTTAGTGCCATTTTTACAAGCTTTTAGTGGCAGACTGCAAAGCAGTGAGTTCCCTCTTGAGAGGAAGGGGCCATCCACTGATTTATAGAAGATGGGGGTACAGAAAACTGAGACTGTGGTACACAGATGTCCTAATCAATAGCAAGTCTGGACAYTGCATTCAAGTGTGCAAGCACAGTGCTAACCCTAAAAATAAAGTARTCTTGGCTAAGGACTGGCAAATCAGCCCTGGACAAATCAGGGTAATTTTCTCATGCTTTCATATGTTTCCAGTCCCAATCCACTCCTTTGCCTGCAGCTGCTGCACTGCTATTTGTTGAGGTTTATGCCTCCAGCTCTTCTTCTTCCTATCTTGTTTCCAGAGTCAAAGTGAGGTTAACTGCCTTTGCAGCAGCGCCACTGGGCAAGAGAAAGATCTCTCCCAACTCTGAAGCTTATATGGCTGATGCTGAGCCATCTCCCAGCGACTGCTTGTGATGAGGCAGCTGGAATTGGCTTGTCATCAGTGACACGCAATTATTTTTAGCTTCTCTCTTATTAATTTTTTTTGCCTTATGAGAGTGTGCATAATRTCCCACCTTATAAAATATTAACACCTTCTTCAAAGTATGATATTTACCAAAAAACCCAGGCAGATTAACCATGCATGCAAACAGCAGAGCAGCAAAAMCCCCCCACAGCATCCTCACCCGGTCAATGAAACACTGCAGGAACCACTTGGTCGTGTAAATCCCAGTAGTCATCTGCTCCTTGTCCTGGGGGAAGACAGCAGAGAGACAGGCATTTCACCAGGCTGGTTACTGGAGGTTCAAGCAGCTCATAAGACTTGGGGGAAGTCAGTAGGTTTACTTTTCCTGGGGTCTGGGTACAGTATGGGGCTGTGGTTTGTCTCTCCCARCAAAGTCCTGGCTTTAAATACCAGTGCTGAAGCCCTGCTTTGGCCCTTTGCCCAAAACATTAATTGAACCTGATCCTTGATATAGCCAGACTTCAGCCACAACACTGGAGAGAGATTTCTAGGAGGAGCTTTYCTGGCCTATTACCTACTCCAGGGACTTACAAAAACCTTCCAGGAACCCAAACCACTCACTCCTGGCAGAGCCCCATTTTTGTTTCCACAGCAATTCCATGCAAGCCAGCTTTGGAGACACCATCTTGTCTGCATGGCATGGCTGCTGCAGGAGCAGGACAGTCTGACAGGCTAAGGAAAACTCTTAAAAACCTCACCTCGGTCTAACACTTCTCCCTCTAGTGCCTGGTGCTGGGATGCACTGATGTCACCTCTGCTGCAAAGCCAACAAAGCAGTGGGGATGGGAAAAGAAAGAAGCCCATGGCATCAACAGCTGCCTGCAGCCTTTGCTGTTGGCTGGTGCTGCACACCTGATGCCTGGAGAGCCTTTGGGACCAGGAGGAACGAGCAGCTTTCAGAGTTATTCCCATCCCCTCCCCTGCCCATAGTTATAATTAAGTGAAAACCTAACATGGCTCTGTCTCACTTTTACAGCCAGGGCTGGATCATTTGCATCATGAAGCAAGAGCTTTTGCAGATAATGGTAACACAAACACCTTTTTCTAGAGATGGGGACCTCCAAGCCCCTTGGGAGTATAAGAAAACTGTAGGATCTGTATACACCAAATACAAGGAGAGCAAAGCAAAAAAAAAATTAAAAAAAAAAAATTTAAAAAAGAGGAGCAGGTGCTGCAAAACAGTGGTCTGTCCTGCAGTTGGTGTGTCCTGCAGATGCTCCTGCAGCAACCAAATGGGCCTGTACCATCTGCTAGAGAGAAAAGCAACTGGACGTGCCCAAGCAACAAAACACACAGGAAATCTTATGTGCCTCCTGTCTTTAAACAACAGCAAAGCACTTGGAACTAATAATTACTGAAATAAGACTCCAGACAGACTAGCATCAGCTTTTGGGCTCTGCAGCTGGTGTAAGAACACAGCCCAGCCTCACTGCTGTATGCAGCAGTTCCTCCTGCTGCAGGTTCTGTAAGCCTTCCTGCCTGGCTCTCCTAGGCAAGCCTTTAAATATACCAGTCCCTGCACTCATTATGACCAGCAAACAATTGATTACCATTCRCCTCAGCAAGATTTGGGCAACCCATTTAATAAATCCTGCCTCTACAGCTGAAGCAGTCCTGCACAGTTAGAAACACCTTCAGCTATGCATCTGTTTGGTGGAACATTGTATTAACTGCTTTATTATTAAAACATGGCATTATCATAGGAAGAATGATAGTAAAGAGATACCATGTGCTTCTTCAGTTTGGGAAACAGTTTGTTCAAAATCTGCTCGTGGTGGGCTTGAAATCTCTGCAGCTTCGGGAACCCAGGAATGAAAAAACCTTAACAACAAGAAAAAAGAAATAAAAAAACAATCAGAAAAGCCATGGTGCAGTGATGGGGACAGCCTGATTTTCTAGAAACTCGCCTCTTGCATTGCCTGTTGAAGTTAGCTGAACCACAGGGTGCCAGCTACCTCCTTTACCTTCCTTTCCAGATGCCACCCTTCACTCCATCTATGTGGGCAATGGGACCCTCAGACCAAGCCCAGCTAGTTCTTCTCACCTGCCCCATGGAGCAGGGGGTGACCCTGCTCCCCCTCTGCCTGCCTGAGACTTGGCTTGGCCAAGAGCTCTCTGAACAAACTTGAGTGCTTACTAAAGTTCAGAGAAAAGCTGAAGATGTTTGAACATCACAAACTTTGCAGTGCCCTGTAATCTAGTGGGACACACATTTAAGAGTGTCCAAAGTTATCAAGCCCTCAAGGTTTAGCCCTCAGCTCATAAAATAACCCTCTGTGYACAGATTACTGCTAGCCACAAGTAAGATGAAAGGATCTTTAATGTGTTTGAAGTAAAATAATACAGCACACGTTTAGTGGAATTACATCACATTTAATGGATACTCTTGGACGTACTTCTGTGAGACTTCTTATAAACTCATAACCTTGAGTTAATTGATTGCCAAGGGCAARGTACCCTGGAGGAAGGATAGCGCTTCTGTGAAAGTGTTAATTACTGAGCACTAAAGCTCAGTGTGGATAAAACTCGTTTTCTGATAAGAACTTTTCTGCTTCCAAGAGTGAAGTTCAGCTCCCTAGTCAGGCTGTGCATATAGTTAAGCCTCACCTCCTTTAATTTAACAAGTATGTGAGGAGAAACAAGGCTCTGCCGACCAACCTGAACAATCTTCTCTCCCCTTGCCAGACACCCCCTCCCCCAGCCCAGCCTTACCGTGCATGGCGTGCCGCTGGTTGGTGAGCAGCTGCGCCAGCGCCCAAAATGCATCCTCTTCRTTCAAATACATCAGGAGGATGGCTGCAATCTGGCTCATCCCTTGGCAGTAACTCACTTCCTGCAACAGTCAAGAGGGGCACATGTGCTGCTATGCCAGCAGAGCCTACCATAATGCTAAAGCAGCCTGTATTTCCCTCTTYTCTTCCAAGGTCAATACCATTCCAAGGTCTTTACCGTTTATGTCCAAATTCACAGCTCCCATATGTCTACAGCATCTACCATGTCASTGACTCACAGAGAAGTTTGGGTTGGAAAAGAGACTTTGAAGATGAYCTCGTCCAACCCTGCTGCCATGGGCAGGGACAACATCGACCAGAYCAGGCTGCTCAAAGCCCCATCCAAACAGACTTTGAACGCTTCCAGGATAAGGCACCCACAACTTCTCTGAGTAATTATTTCCATGCCTCACCATGCTCATTGTAAAAAATGTCTTCCTTATGTCCAATCTATCTTCAGGATGACAAACATCATGTGGCTCTGATGCAGTTTTAGATTCCTACAGCCATATGAGCACTGAAGTAATTAAACAGTAAATAAATCTGGTAACCATTCATCTGGCACGAGGGAGGCTTCTTAACTAACTCCCTGAGCATCTTCTGGGATAACTGTCCCCTCCTGGAGGTGAAGGCAGTAGGTTCAGCTCCTAATTCAGGCTTATTCTGCCTGTGTCCTTCAGCTAAAAACGACTGGTTTGCTGTAGTAAATCAGTGTTTTCAACAAGGATGCCATTTGGTGTAAAGACAAGAAGTCAGAAACGTGACAGACTGCCAGAAGACCAGTGTTGCTGGAAAGCCAAACGGCAATCTTTGTTATTTGCTGACACTCACCTAAACTGAATCTGCCASATGTCATTTACCAGGTGACAAAATGAAAAAGGGAATGAAATAACTGTGCAAAGACAAGAGGCCTTCAGATCTCTGTACAAGCTAGTATTAGGACTTGAAATTGGAATTACCATTGGCATATTTGTTATATACATATATACACACAGAAGTTTAAGACCACACACACAAAAAGATATGTCTACACAAATATACAAATATGTATAAAGGTTTTTTTAAAAATCTTTATACATATATGTAAAGCTCAACRCTACCCACATTAGCTGGTCTTACTACTTACAGTGTTATAAACCGAGTATGCCGACAGGACGTGGAAAAGTGCCTGTTGCCTGGGGAGAAAGAAGGATATTAAAACAGCTGAGCATGGTGACTCCATCTTCATGAGCACACCAGTGCATACACACAGAGAGCAAAGACTCTGAAAATTTCCAGCTGGTACTTAAGCCCTTTCCAAGGAGCAGGACTCAGAGAACKGGAAAGCACCTTTCTCAGAGACTGTGTAGGGCAGCCAGATGTGACTCATCCAAGTGACAAAGCCACTTTGTCAAACCTCTCCAACCCCATCTGCTGTGGAGGCCTCATTCCTCCCAGTTCCTGAGGGGCCCACTCCATCATCACAGCCATCCCAAACCAAGACCTCTGCAACTGTGATGCCTGGGGACAAGGCACTGCAACAGGCTGATGCTTTGCTCCAGAACTGTGGCTGAGTGTGGTCCAGTGTGGACCTCTGAAGAGAGAATCAGCAGTCCCATATCCATGGATGGTACAGCGAGGTGATGAGAAGCAGGCAGAGGTGGCTCTGCTCTCCTGTGAGACACTCTGAGCCAGGGTGATGGTAGCTGCCCCAGGCCAGAGGACTGCTGGCCACCCCATCCAGCTCATCCTCCACATATCCACTGGCACTGCCCATATAGCCATGGAAGCCTTCCATACTCACTTCACTCCGTAGCGATCCCGAAACATGATGTGGTTTCGGAAGGTGCGGTTAACGTCCAAATCGATCTGCTTGATTTCTGATGAAAAGCTCTTTGCTTGTTCTTTCATTTGCTGGAAGGGAGGGGGCAGACAAGAGGCAGGAATCAGACACCATTTCAGCCCGCGCCTCTCTCCACACAGTGAGAAGGCAGGATTCCTACAGCACGAGGGGCAGCTGGAGAGCTGCACGGAGCTCTCCAGAGCAGGGAACACTGATGTCTTGCAGTAGGCAATGAACTGCAGTCCAGAAATGAGTYCCCGACCCCTTGTCTGTGCTACTGGCCCAGGGAGAAGGGGATGATCTCACATTCACACGCTAAGACAGCAGTGTGCCTAACCCAGTCTTCGCCCATCTTCCAAGGTGGATACTGAGTTTTTAGAACCTAAAACTTTTACAATTTAATTGCACTCTGATTTGTTTTGCTTTCTTTGCCAGTCTGGCTGTCATAAAATATTGAGAGCTCTGCTGGTGCTTAAGAAATGACACATCTCCTCAAGGAACCAATATGCAGACTGAGTCCCTGAGTTTTTCAAAGGCTCAGTCATAATAAAGTCCAAACTGCTATGACAGATTCTGTGATCTCCAACTACTACTTTCTCTGGAGAAGAGAATCATCCTAGGTTTAAGGAATTTCCACTTGAAAAGCAGCCCTGCAATACTCGCTTGGACTGGTACAAATTTTAAGTAACTGGCAGAGTCGAGAACAGGAGCTAAACTCAAAGCTAAGGATCCCCATGTTCCCCCCAGGCTGGGTAATCATTTAAGGCAACATCATCCAGAAAAAGCACTGAAGTCCACTACAAAAAAATGGAAATTCAAATGAAAGTTTAAGACCATCTCAACCAACTGTGCCCTCAGAGTCCCAAGCTGAAAATGCTCCATGGACAAATCCCACTGCAGTCCCATTTGCCACCCACTGTTCAGTTCTGTACTGTAGGCAAGGACCATTATGCTATAGCTAAATATCTCATCTCACAGCCTTTAGATACCACCAGTGATCATGCCCTTCTCCTTTAATGTCTCCAGGGTTAATTGCATGAAGAAAATACATTTTGGGGKTGTCTTCAGGCACACTGAGATTCACCAGCAGGTTACAGGCAGCAGAGATGAGCTGCAAGCCCGACYTGCCTTGAGCCCAGGGTCAGGACCCGTCTTGGCTCACACAGGAGGCAGAAAATRGAACATCTGCACAGATATTTATCATCTGCTCCAGCAGCTGCCATCCTATGAGTGCTTGTCAGCCTGATACCAGGCGCCTCCAGGCTGCTGTTGACCTCCCAMGGTGGCCACATCAGCTCTGGGGAACATCAGAAGGTCATCAGCACCCATATGTGTCCAGCACARCCAACACTAAGGACAATCACAGCATCCTGGAAATATTAACTCCAACCTTAAACGCAGATGTATGGAGGAGCAACAGTACAGGGGCTATTGTGAATTACTGCCTGCGCAGGACAAGTAAAGGCAAAAGTGATGATGGAATGAAGATCTGGTGAACAACATAATTTCCCAGCTGTAAATACTGTGGTCTCTGTATCCTGTGGCTCCTTACCCTTTATAAACCAGGCAGACTACCTGAGAGAAGACAACCATTCATGTGCACTGGGTTACTTCAGTTCAAATTTTCCTGCTAAAGGCCCTCTTGTTTTCTCTGCCAGAACACAGAAATCTCCCAAATACYGTAAACACCCTACTTTGTGTATTTTAAAAATCATTCAACATGAATAGCAGGTCAAACAGCACTTTGTCACCTCCATGCACCCAGGAGACTTTATTAATTGTCCAGAGATTAGAAAAAAACCACAGAATGATTCTCCTTTTTCCCTTGTGTAAGTAACCTGKGGGCTCTACAGATGCTCTTCCGAGCTCATTAGTGCTGTGAGCTGTGCAAGCTGGTGGCAGAGGCTGGAAAGCTGGAAGCCCCATCCCCAAGACCTTGTACAAGGCAGTGGGCAAAAGCCAGGATGCCTCTGCTCTGCCCCATGTCCAGTATGTTTCTCCTCCTGCCTTCTCAAGCTACCCTCAAGCCCTCTGGCTGCAGCCAATAGAGAGGGGAGACAGAGCATCACCCCTACATCAAAAGCAAGCATGGCATGCCCCATGGTATCCTTKGGGCTTTTGTGCCACAGGTCATGCCCCAGGGAGAAAGGGAGTGGCCTTCAAACAAGTCCCTCCAGCTCACAAGTCGAAGGCTTAGTCCCTTCTTGAAAGCAAAACCCCTCATCCAGGACCTGCACTGAGCCGCTCCTGGAGAAAATTAGGGAGAGCTAATTACTGGCGGCAGGTGGCACCAAAGACGAGGTAGATTAAGATGAGCTTGTGGAGGGTTTGCATCCAGCAAAGCCTATTAGCCCTGAAGCTCCTGTTTATGGCAGACCCCTCTGGAGCACAGATAAACTCCTTGTGACTTTCATTTGTTTGGATTGCTTCCCTGCCTGCGCAGCACAGCTTTGAGGGAAGGAGCACAATTTTAATCTGCGTGCTGGGAGAGCTTCCTTATCTGTGCTTACTGTGGTAAGCACACTTCCCCCCCACCACTGCGTGTGCCTCCATCCCTGCAGCCCTTTGCCAGTAACATCCACGCTTGACTAACTATAATGAGTGTTAGTATCATCCTGCTTAATAATAGGCAGGGATTTTTAGCAACACCTGTTGGAAGCAACACTCAGCCTCCTGCCTCTGAAAAATAATTGTCTCCACAACACCCTGATCCTCACCCTGGTACGTGATGCAAGCTAAATCATAACACAAGCTTGGAAAATAAGTTAATTATTCACCAAGGGCTTCTATATGCTGCCTRTGGAAAGCTTCCCCTCACTCTTCCCTGTCTCTTTCCCTAAAGATGTAGTAACACTGACTGCAACTTTCATCCCAGATTCCAGCAGAATAAAAGGAAGTAGCATATTATGGAAAGCAGTCTATTAACATGCTAAAAGACCCCAGCTTAATATTCACCCAAGGATAAAGAGCTGATACCCTTTGCATTTTCAGTCTCCACCAAAGCAGCATCATCAACCAATCTGACCTCCCCATCACCTTGCTCCTGTTGGCTTTGCCAGGAAGAGCCCATACCTCATACTTTCCTTCGTTCTCTTTCTTCATCTTCTCAACATCCAGCAGAAGTGACCAGACTTGGCCTCGCACCTGAAGCGGGATCCCTTTGTACACACGGCGGCACATCTGCAGGGAGGAGAGCACATGCAAGGTTAGTGGCATCCTGCTGGAGGCAGAACATATTTTCTCATGGTTTGCTGCTGCAGATCATCAGCCATCTGAGCAGACACCCCACGTGATCACTTCCCCTGCCTRCGCTGGAAAAGAGATGGCATCTCCAGTGTGATGAATGAGCTAAGTACCTTCATCCATCAAAGAAAACTACTCAGTCAAAATCACAGAACCACAGAATCATAGAACAGTTTGGTTGAAAGAGACCTTACATGTCATCTAGTTCCAACACCCTTGCCATGGGCAGGGACACCTTCCACTACACCARGTTGCTCACTTCAACCTGCCTTTGAATATTTCCARGCATGGGGCATACAYAATTTCTCTGGGCAACCTGTGCCMGTGCCTCACCACCCTCACAGTAAAGAATTTCTTCCTAACATCTRTTCTAAACCTCCCCTCTTTTAGTTTAAAGCTATTCCCTCTTGTCCTAACACTATCTGCCTGGAGAGTGTAAAGTCACTCTCCCTCATTTTTATAAGCCCCCATTAAGTACTGGACGACCACASTGAGGTGCCCTCAGAGCCTTCTCTTCTTCAGGYTGAACAACCTCAGCCATATCAACCTTATTCGTAGGAGAGGTCTTCGTTAACTTCATCTCACAGATGCCTCTTCCCTTTTWGTGATAAAGCCCCCATTAAATTTCAGTGGAAAACAGAAGGGGGGGGAAAGAGCTCTTGCTCCATTGTTGACTTCTTCCATTAAAAGAAAAAGCTTCATAAAAAAGAAAAAAGGTCCATTTATGGATATTTTCCTTCCTTTCATTTATCCCACCTGTGAAATGCCTTGCAGCTGCACCACTGCAGCAACTGCTGCAACCCTCCAGGTTCCTGAGGGTCCTTGGGTACACTGAAGGACCTGTAGTACATACCCAAGCTCCAGCCATGGAAGGTATTTATGCTGTCTCATGGTGCTCCCATAGAACCAGGCAATTCCTTGGGAAGAGACAGAGGTACCAGATTTCCAGTCATGGGAATGAGCCTGGAGCTGAGAAGGGCAGTGCCCAACCAGGCAATCAACTGGAGCTACTGTCACTGTCTGGTACAAAYGCATCCCACCACTTTCAATATCCCACTTCTTTTTCCATATTGTGTACTGCTTGATGGAATCCAAGCTGATGCAAAAGAAGGACTGCAATCCATAGGGAAGCACAAGATCCTAATAGAAGGTTTGCTGGATGTGGGCCTGCCACATTGCATTTGCATCTCTGACACCAAGCTGAACACCTGCTCCAGTTGCCTTTCCTTTCAGACCCACCTCACACAGCTTCTTAATTTCCAACTTACTTGACTTTTTAATGCCAACCTTTCACAAGGATATAGAGACCTTAACCATGGCACTGTGCTGGCTCACAGCCTCCATGTGCRCAGACCCACACTCCTCGTTTTTTTACTGCTTTCATGGCAGCACTGTGCYCACCAAGAACAAAACCCAGGAACAGCAGCCTTTGTCCCCAAGATYTACAAGACCAGGAGGTAAGACAGGAGGTGGGCTTCAAGCAGATAGTTCTTTGCTGTCCCCTAGCCTACCACCACTATCACAGTCAAAATAAGTATATAKAACAGCTCTGYAGTAMATGCCAAGATCACCATGTAGGACCRGGAGAACCAGATGTGTGTGAGAATGCTTTTCCACTCCATTATGATAAATATTTCAGTATTTCTCCTGACAAATAAAGTGTCAGTGTAATGTATCCTGATCCTGAAAGTGTRATGGACATTCAACATTTAAAACTCCATCCTCAGCACTTCCTAAATGCTTCCTGTGTCCCAAGTGCTGCTTAGCACCAGCTATGAAGGTCCAGTGCACAGCCAGGACCAAATCCTGCAYGAATCCTTTAAAGATCCTGCCCTTCCCTCTGTATGCACCAAGTAAGAGCTACCCCCTAAAAAGCAACCTCACTAGCAAGACACGCCCATGGAAGACCACCATCCTGCTGAAGAGCATCCTGCATTTTAAGTGGGACATCACTAATTCACCATCTGCACATCCAAAGGAGTTGSTTCTGCTCATCCAAACTCACATGAGAAGGTGCTTCTAAGGACAGCAAACCTTCACGCCATTTGGGACAGCTTTACCCCCCCAGATGAAAGGCCCATTTCCTGAGAGTCGTTAAATCAGGATGAAAGAAGAGCATTGCATCAAGAGACACAAAGCAACAGGATTAGATGAACCACATCCCCAAAGTAGTACATGCCCACAAAAGCCTGGCTCCTGCAAGCACTCAAGCTTTGATGAAGCAAAAGCAGAGGCAGGATCAAGAAACTAGAGTATATACCAATTCTGATAAAAACACTGATTCAGAAAAGATTGCTTATTTCCAATGGATTAAGAGAGACTTGCAGAGGGCTGCCAAGCCATATGATGACGCTCAGGTCCATGGGGARAAAACAATTTTCTTACAGATTTCCAGAGCTGGTATTGTTGTATTTCAATGTTTGCAACCCTCAGYGGTATATAGTAAATGATTTTCTTTGCACAAGTGTGAAAGGAACAGGCGAGTTACAAAACATGCTGAAATGGAACTGAAATGCATTCCTGCTATTTATACAAGGGCTTTCCTCCTCCCACCACCTCCAGACATGAAAGTGATAAAGCCTCAGAGTTGTGAGTCACCCAGAAAAAAATGAGCAACTTTTCTTCATTGTGAAACTTGAAGGTAAACAGGGAAGTTACTATAACAAGTGATATTTACGCTAGAATGAAGTGACAGAGGTAAGGTAGCATGTGATGATAACACGTGTTCCATRTGACGATCAAAAACAACCCTCAAGGTCACTCTCTTCTGTCTCTTACAGACTGCTCAGCCCTTACCGATGGGARGAGAGAAGCTAGATCATTTTCCATGCAGACTGACAAACAATGCACAGCAGGAAGAACTGACACCATTCCACTTCACAAAGGAAGATGCTGATGGTCAAAGCAATGGTTCAAGACACTTTAGAAAAGCTGTGTCAGCCAAGGACTGAAACCAGAGTGTCTAAAACTTGCTCTAGGTTTTGCCAYAGGATCATTTTCCATGTCCAGGCTTTAACATACAAAGGTCATGGCACAGATGCCATCATCACCCCATCCCTATCTCTCCCCACTCCATGTATTTTCTTTCTGGTAGATGGGATGGGGAAGACTATGGAGTACAAACTTCAGCTCCATCTTCCTGCACCAGCAATCTCCTCTGGGAAGTATCCAACCAATTGCTCCAGGTTTTTAATTAGAGGGATGGAGTCACTGCCTTTGAAGACTGAACATCTTTTTGCAGTAGTTCAGACAGTGAAATTAAAAAGGATTTGGGAAGCGTGGGTTGGTTTWTGAAGAAGAATGTACACACTGCAGTTCACCTTCACACTTTGGAGTCTGTCACTCTTAGCTTCTCAGCCATGTGCATGGATCACCAGGAAGAGACTGCAGGAGCAGTGCTCAAATTTTGGGTATGCATGATGATAAACCTTTCAAGCCTTTCCATATATCCAGCACATGTCTCCAACACCCTAAAGTGGGGGCAGCCCTCCTTCCTCAATTCCTTTAGTGCTCAGAGTGATCTTTCTGGAGAGGAATGACTTCTTCACATCCTCTACTAGTGATGCATCAGGGAAACTGAGCTGTAGAAATCCACCTGGAGTGGTGGGTGAAGCCTCCACCAGCACCATGCCCACCATCACCATGGAGAAGAGGATTTCCTATTTGTACCATGAAGCCAGACAATCAATGATGTGGCCATGAACACACTTGGCAGACTRGACATCACCACACATGGCCTTCTTTCCATACAGTCAGTGCTTGCTCCCAACTCAGCTGTTGTGCCTGCAGCTGGAGCCTATGCAGCTATTCCTGATGGGGTGTCAGCAAAGAAGGGGCAAATTTAAATCCTAAAGCTGGTGGGCCATGGGTAGGCATTTATTGCCCAGGCTACCTTTGGAGAAGAGGAAAATGCTACCTGCTTTTCCAAAATGGAAGAAAAAAAAAAACAGGCGAAGCCACCCTGCTGTTCCCAGACACAACTCCCTTTCTTTGTCATGGCATTTGCAGGCAGATCTGACTTCAGCCAGCCCTGGCACAACAAACGTCTGCTGGTTGTCTCTGGCATTAGCAGACTGTTAGCTCTTGGGGGTCTGTGTCAGTCCATACAGATCCCCAATTCATCCCAAACCGCTTTGCTGGCATGCACTGGATTAAGTGCCCTGCACTCCTGTGACCTTAGCAGAGACAAGGCTTCCCCCCTGGACAAAGGCAGGCTTTGCCTAAAAACCAGACATCTATGACCAAAGACATCCCTTTCTAAAGATCCCATCACACATGGCCAGCAGCAAGACACAGCTTGCAAATGAKGCAGAGGTCATATCCTCCTCCTATGACTGATGCTTCTGGCTGAAATCCATTTCAGGGCTACAATGAATAAATTATCCCGCTGTTGGAGTGCACACAGCACAGCCTTTTCTGCAAAACTACTGCCTGAACTGTGTAGATTCTTACATGGCATCAGCCATTTCCTAACCTYCCCCAGCAGAGTCAGGTTGGGATTTAAACACAGGTTCAAACCAGCAGCGAAGAGGAYACAGATTACATGACCCTCCCTGTGCTGAACCCCAAATAACATGGTTTAGCACTTCTTTGCAGGTTTGACATACCTTAATGCTGCAAAACAATGTGGTCCTTTCATGGACTCCTTCATTTTTTTTTCCCTTCCCCTTGTGGAAGTCCAGCCAGAAAAAGGCACCATTGCATCATTCTAACACCACCCATATGAGGAATTGTGCTGGGTGTCACTTTTTGCTGATCTYGCTACTGAAATTAAATCAGATTGCTACAAAACGTGTCTAGAACAGAGATGGAGACAGATCTGAGGCAATGATAAGCACAGGGAGCCCCAGGGCATTACTTTAATTAAGATAATCCTATTTGTTACTCATCCTGAAACAGGTTATGCCAGAAATTAACCAGGGCATTCTCGGCTAAGAAMCATAAAAGGTCCTCCTCTGTTTTTTCAGCCTTATTTCCTATAATCTGTGACAGTCACAAGACCCAGACTGCAACCATCAGCAGGCAAAGATGCACACAGGCTGCAGGTGGTGGAAGAGAAAGCCAAACCTGCTGCTCTCTGGTAGTGGCTCATGCCAGGGGACTGAAAAAGCTGCTTTCTTGCCCACTGACASGTGGCTATTTTGGGGTCAATGTCCTGGATGGGTATATACAACCTCCCTCCTCCTGCTGACATTTCACAACATAGAAAATGAGAAAACAACCTAAGCCCCAACCAGGTACTAAGATGCTGCAAAACACAAAGACCTGTTTGCAAAGTCCCTCCTAATCAAGCACTCGATATGATCAGATGTCTGCCAGCTCCAGCACATGAACTGGGACTGAAAAGGTTGGCCCTAAAGTGCAGAAGTCCCAGTCTGGAAAATAAGATGGGTTTCTACATCATTCAAGCAGAGTCAAAGTCAGGGCAACTTTGCTGTGAAACTGCCTGTGGTTCCTGCAACAAGATTTTTTCCCCTCTAATAAAGCACAACATATCAAAATTAACATCAAAGGGAATGTTCTTGTTTTCAATAAGAGGATTTTTTCAAAGATGACATCTTAGTCATTGTTAAAATAATACAGAGCGGCTGTCTTGTGACACTTGAGTTTCTATCATGTCAGCCAAGTAGTGAAAACAAACCTGAAGGAAACATGCAATGCAGATGTGGCAGCTTGAGTGCTCAGAGAGGGAATAAAACCAGCCCAAGTCTGCTTTAGGAAAATCAGATCAAGGGCTTGTCACATTTACYAAAGCTAGAAAAAAACACAGCTATCTGACATGACTGTGATCCCACCATAAGGTCCTTGAAATGCCACAGTTGAACTGYATGCAGCTGCGGCAGCAGGAACAACTGAGCAGCTTCCATGCTCCTGACACAAGAGCATGGAGTTACACATCCAGATGAATCATGCAACCTAATTTTACTTTTTTTTTTTTTTAAACACTTCTTTTGTGCCTCTCAGGGTCTTTGCATTTAATGGTGTGTGCCTACTACAGACCTTCCTGCCTGCACTTGCCTTGGTGCAAGGCAGCAGGTGTTAGGCTGGACAGGAGTAAAACCAAAACTCCTTTCTACTCCCCAGGGTCACCAGACTGCTCCTTCCTTGCTTGGGGCCAAGCACTGCTTCTCTGCTTGCTGGGAGAGATGATGGCCAATTCCAGTCCCCCAACATGGGACAATGCCATCTTTGTGCCCAAGAGTCATGGACCATTTACAGGCTGTTATTTATAATATCTTTTATTCTACTGTAAGAGCTTTCTGATTTTCTGATCCAAAGACCCCCAAAACCCACTGGCTGCTCTGACCCTTCACCATCCAGCAGATCTGAGAGACATCAGCTACAGCATGCTTAACACACCCACTAATTATCAAGGGAAATCCAAAACAGACTGGGATCAGAGATCCCTACCGCTCCACAGCTCTCATGCTGGATCCTGTCTGTCACCAYCATCTGACCCAGGGAAGCCAAGGTGTGCTAAAACCACTCATCATTACCYGCCCCAAACACCCTCCAGGACCCGAAGGAATTCCCTGTACCCTGCTGGAATTTGGTGGTTACCCACAAGCTCCCTAAACAATTAGTGCTAACTTCTAATTAGAAAGAGCTAAGTCACAGGAGAGCCTCCGATTTTACCTGTGGAGCAGCACTGATTAACAAAATAATTAGAATCAACCTGAAGTGAACAGAAGGATTATAAAACCCCAACCCCACCTCTTCCCAGCTCTGCTGTCRTTAAGATGATTTTGGTTCTTTTCTAAAAAAGGATGAGACTACATCTGGTCTTTGGCTGGGTGATCTGGACATGACTCCTRATAGCTGGGCAAGGATGATGCTCTGCTTGATGTTGTCCCTACAGCTACACAGATATTCTCTGGAGATACATCTCTCTTCATAGCCCTTTTAACCAAGCTCAAATGTCTCCCAAGGACTCACAGCACGAGCTGGAAGCAGTCCAGCCAAACACACACCTCCTCCTGCTAAACATGAAGGCTGCAGAGGCCATGCAGAGACCACAAGGTAATGCCAGGCTTCAGCCCTCTCTTGTGCAGAGTATCACAAGCAGAGCAGGTCAGATGCAGTGCCCCTCTCCTTACCAGCAAGGGTGCTGTCGTTAGGTTCAAAGCCTTTTTTGTTTCAAGAGGTTTGTAATAGGAACATATAACAGATTCTATTCATTAAAAACAATTCAGTTTTGCAGTGGTGTTTGCTGCAGTTTATTTTAACACTAAAGCCAAGACACAATGGTGGTATCTCCATCCTTGRTTTCCACYGACGGGTGTGCACAATGTAATTCTYRCAGGCACAGCCAGGAGCAAAAAACAAAATTTGTTTGTTCTAGACAAAATGTACGTAATGCTCTAGACAAATAATTCTTTCCCCAGGAAGAATTACAAGGAACATCATCTGGGCCATATCAGTCACATCTCTCACATCATTGCCAGAAGGTGGAGACACAAAGTGACCTGTGGTGTGCCCTCTGTTCTCACAGGGCAGGGACCAAGCTGGGCATACGAATGTCCCTGCTGTGCTCCCGCTTGCACAGGGAAGCAGAAGSGCAAACATGGTAGCAGCATTTAGGAAATCCTTTTTAAAGCTATGTAAGCCAGAAYAGGACTTTTACCTCGACTTGTAACCCAGTAATTTCTAAGAAAGATTTAAAATATTAAAGACCAATGAGTAGAATCTGGCAATGTTCCAGAGATCTCTGGTCTCTCTCTCAACTTTTTAAAAGCCTGACCCATCGTAAGGATGCATCACACCCACCCTTCTGGACATTCACRCTTTCTTTTCCTCCTTACCTTGTCACTGTTTCTGTATTTGCCCCATTTCTTCAGCATCTTAAGCCACTTGTCCACCCGTTCAATTTCCTGCTGTTTTTGCTGGTGCAAAAGAGAAGACGAGAAAAATTTAAGGGAAAAAAGCCCCAGGAGATGCCTCCTGAAAACAAACTAGRTTTAAACTTCTACGCAAAGACCTCACATCAGGGCTTACAACAATCCACAAGCTGCAGAAACTGATAATTTCAGCACTTGGTAATTAAAAGCAGCATCGGTAAAAGTGACCAGGCACACAGGCTTAACACAGAGAAAGCRTTCCCAAGAGGAGTATTTGCTGACAATAAAAATCTTCACAGGTTCAGCTGGCCTCAAATCTTATCACTGTATCAGATCGGCAGAATCCCTGTTAGCGGAGTCCTAACAGAGGACATGCTCTCATCTCAGGGAAGATAAGGATGGAGATCATGGTTGCCTACAAATTCCACCATTTTACCTTGCACATGCAGTCCCCTTTACAAGCCACAGCTGCTCAGCACTGTGCCAAAGCAGAGGGAAAARCCCAAAATTGCTTTAAGAGGTGCTGTGCAAAGTGAGGGAGATGCCTGACCCAGCAAAACAAAAGCTCCAACAGCTGGGCATCATGCACAGCACCCACCTCTGAAAGAGCAGCAGTGACCAGTGGGTGCTGGCTGACTGCTTTGCTCTTACTTGCTCACATGTTTCCTCAAAAAAACATTCCCTCCCCAGCTGGTGTGATAAGGATGTCACATCCATGATGACAGAGCTGGCAGCTCTCACCTTCTCCTCCAAGGCGGTGCGGGTTGGCAGCTCCTGCTCGCTGGAAAAGCAAGGGGTCACTGGTTATGCCATGGACAAGAAAAGGTGTGGAGGAGCACAGGGTGCTGCAGCTCAGGGTAAACCTCAGACACCTTAAGGGATATGTCCTGGGAACTTTGTGCCTTTCCCACAGCTTTGTTCCCAGTATGAAAGAGACAGGGGAAGCACCATTTAAGATACTACCATCCGATAGGAGCTCTTGGGGGTGTAATCAAGCACTGGACATAACTGGAAATCCTGAGCATATATTTCCTCTTCAATACACACATGACCAGTAATTCAAAGGGTGTGGAAGCAGAATTTCTGGAGAGCGATTGCTTCAAACCTCACTCCTGCACACAGAATGCCTACTATTATAACTTTGGTTCAGAATCAGAATAAAAATAGTTMTTTTAAGCATTCTTCCCAGGCACAGAGTGTGCATCTAATTTATCTGCACCTCGGTTAGGATAGGGATTTCCTAAGGGAACTAGAGATGATCAGATACTTTGTCTCATCTCTTCCTACAGCTCYCTGAACCATCAGGTGCAAACACAAGGGCCTCTCCCACTGTGACACACCACAGTCCTGCACCTTTTAATGCCAGCCTTGTGGTAGGAAACTGCTTCTGAGCCTTGTCTTGCAGCAGATTCAAAGCATCAGAGTGTTTGGACATGCGCAGTTGAGGAAGGAGGCCCATCTAGTCTTTCCTCCTGCATTTGGGATTCATCAAGCCAAACCACAGAGCAGATTATGGGAGAGATGTGGGGCCTGTCATGCTCAGTGCAGAAGGATGGTCCACACACACACAGGTCAGAGAGGAAAGGAGAGGGCAGGAGGACTTACTGCAGGAATCCAAACCGGTCTGTAACTTTGTACAGCGTGAAATCAGCATCTTCCCACTGGTCAATCTGAGCTCCTTCTTGCCTGCCCTGAAAGCAGAAAGGACACCTGTGAAGTGGTCCCAGCTTCAGGAATGCCCCAGTGCCTGCATCCTGTGCCCAAAGCCCACATCCCTCTCTCCTGAATGACAAAAGGCACAGAGGCAGGAGAGCAAAACCTGCTCTAAARAGCCAAATACAAGGCAGGCAAGAAAAAAATGCGCAAGTTCAGCCTATCCAGCATTCCATSTGTGCCCCTGCTACAGGATGGGAAGGGCTATACATCAGAAAAAACAATGTTGTTGGGCATAAGCCATCCTGGTATTAMGGGAGAACTGAAGCACCAGAAGCTCTGCACCTTTCAGTATCTATGTGGAGCACACACGGGATCTGCAAGAAACTCTGGGGATGTAGTGAGAGGGGATTAGAGGCAGGGAGAGCTGGCATGAAGCCTGATGGTATGAGGGTTACTGGGGCGGTGCCTGCAGGGAGGCAAAAGATCTTACTTGACRCATTCCTAATTGATTAAACAGCTTCAGCCCCAGCCAGCATGCTGGGGAGAGGCACAAGGCTGGTACCTTCTCATACTTGGCGACGATCTCTGCTTTTTCCTGGGCTATTAAAGACTCTATATCCTTCTTCATATCAGAAGCTGTAAGGGAAAAAAAAAAGCGGGAGGGAGGGGAAAGGAGATGAGTAAATGTGTATACAGCATGTGAAATATTTTCGGGAAGCGCTAATACAAAAAACGCTTGCTGACAATTTTAGCTTCCAGCCATTATCCCACAGCTAAAATTAGGCCGAGGTTGCACAGCCGCTTTACAGAGTGCTCCTGGAGTTTGCCTGCAGGACCGCCTGCTCCCTGCACTGGGACACAGCCCAACCCAACCAAGGTGGGGCAGAGGGGGCGGTCTTGTCTTTGTTCTCAGGCACATACATGAGAGTATGAAAGACATTGCTTTTAAATCAAGACACGCAAATCAGCCCCAGAGCCTAGGCATGGCACAGGACAGGCACCAGCTGGGCGCTGCTCGGCACAGCATCCATGTGGATGACAGCAAGGCACCACATTCCTGCCTGATRCATGGATGGGAAACCATGAGATGCTCTGATGGGGCATCCAGAGGCAGATTGCACATCAAAAGGGACACTAAAAGGAGAAGTTTTTGCCTACTAAAGTATGCATGAGACAAGCAAATTGGCCTCTAGGKGATTACCTTCTATATATAACTCTAAAGGCAAAACAACACAGTGKTAAGATGTCCCCACCTATGCTGAGACAGAGCAGTCTTGGTCTAAGCAAGATGCTGAGACCTGTGCCCACTGCTCTGCTCCATCCCACAGATACACACACGAGCAAGGTAACTCGCTTGTCAAACACAACTTGAGTGTTGTCCCRTACAAGCCAAAAGGAGCATCCCCACTGTCAAGCCGTAACTATTTCCTCACTTTCATCAAAGGTGGATCTAACACACCAAGGAGAAAGCATCGGCAGCCAAAACYGCCAGGGAACTGCAGTTCCCAGGGGTGGCTGCAAGGAAGAGGGCTGAGGAAAGGTCCATCAAGTCCTCCTCCTCCAAAACTCTGTGGAGCCACAACCAGCCCAGCTCAGACCATGTAACAGCTATGGCACCACCAAAAGCCAGGCCACCACAAGCCACGTTACCCAAACCTTTGGGTCATTGTAGCTCTCTAATGGATAGCTTAAATCACAAAAAGCAACCATCCTGACCTCCCTTCAGGAAAAACCTGATGRGTTCTTTCCACAGGACATGCTACCCCAGCTTTTGTCTGAAGTTGCACCTCAGCAGTGGTGCTTGCCACTGAATGAGCCAGAGCAGCCAAAGGCATCACACTTAGGATCATCAGAAGAGTGGGATTTTTCCTTGAGGAGAAAAAAACCTGGGGGAGATATGATGAGCAAAAGCATCAGCACTCTCCAAGGCTCACCCCACTTATTTGCACCTTCAGAAACCTGCAAGARACTATTCATCTCATCTAAAAAACTCCTTTTTTTGGTAGCAAAACTCCTTTTTTGGTAGCAACCAGCGTGCTACCACTGTGTCTTTCAGGCATAGATGGAGATGGCCAAGAGATCCAGCTTTCCCTAACTCTTCATTCTGAAARCAGCCATCTCTCCTAGCTGTCAGCAGTGGAAGTATTATATCACATGCAATATAATCAGAGCTCTTCTGTRACCCGTTATCAGGCAACAGCACAGGCATGGCACCACTTTACACTCATACATTCCGACACTGGAAAAATGCAAATTCTTCAAATTCATGGCAGGAATGGGTGTAATCTTACCCCATTATTGCCTCCACAATCAAAAACGGAGCAAGGACAGAAACATTAATGTGTATTTTACTCTTTTAGTTTTCCAAGCTGCAGCTCCTACTTCAAATGTGAACTTTGATCAATACACTTTAATCACAGCTTAATTTTTCAAAGTAGCAAGGTCTGAGTAACTGTCTCACAGTGTCACCGAATATTTCTGCATCTCCTCCTTTTCACATCTCCTACGAAATTTAATTCAAAGGCAATTTTACTCCCTCAGTTCTGACCTTTTTTGTTGTTATGGGGCCAAAAATTAAAATTATGTCTTTTACAGGCTGCTAAAAATACAAATATTCTGCAGACTACAGGGAAAAAATAAACTGTACATCAAATTAAATGGGCAATTTTCCAAGACATTTACAAAGTGAAAGCTATTATGAACATCTCTGACCACACTCCATAATAGAGTAACAAAGGAAGTGCACTTCCCAACCACGGCACACAGCAAGAACACATATATTTTGGCACCCACCTCTGCAAAAGCCTCTCTGCAGCCAGAAACACCAGACTTGTGCAAAGGAGCCAGTTTTGCATCTCATGCTTGGAATATGCACATTTGTTTTCTCTTTCTACTATAGCAGTGCAAAAGTCCAAATTTAGGAATGAACTTGAAAATGGTTGATAGCAGTGGAAAGGACAGATATGGCAAGTGGCTGCACTGGCCTCGGAGTCTGGCCACAATGCTGCTGTTTGGGGGAGCACAGAGACAGTGCTGCACTCAACAAGGTGATTGTCMAAGTACTCTGAACAGGGAACAGAATGTAGCTTAGTTCTGTAACAGCATATATTGAATGAGGATATTTTTATTATTTAGTTCTGCACATGCTCAAACTCCAGAGYAGTTTTGGCACCATGGTGTTATACAGCGTTTGCTTGAGGAAAATAACACCTTGTGTACATGGAGACTACTGAGACATTGATTTTCTGAAGGATTTGATGAAACACATCATTTTTTTCCTTGATGTAAACAGGCTTCATATAAACAGGAACAGGCTGTACCTGCCATGCTTTTCCATATACCTATGTATGACTGCATATGTTCTTTTCTTTAATACACCACTCAAATTACTTTCTCAAGCCTGCCACCCAATTTTCTCCTGCAAGTACTGTATTTTCCAGGCAGAGAGGTTTTTTTTTCCATGACAAACACACAAGATGAAGCTGCTATGAACAGAAATAGTTAGAAAATATGAACAATGTAACAATAGTATTAGAYAATTTACCGGGATATAAGGAACAGAAAGCCCTGAGTCGTGCACACTTAAATTCAAATTGGAAACAAAGTTATGAACTAGTTCCTTTTAAAAAGAATGAGTTGAAAACACCCACAAAATGTTATCTCAGACTAAAACTTGCAGCTTCCAGTTTACAATTTAAGGAAGTAAAAATTAATACCAGYAACAGAAAGCCTAAAGATGCTTAATGAAAATGCATCCCGCATTGAACATTATCTAGCCATCAGCAAACCTGAAATAAAATACCCAGTTTTTTAACGGAAACAGCTTTCCTGAAATTAATTCACCAGGTGGGAACTCATGTACTGGCAGCAAGAAGAAAGTATCAGCATCAAAAATCCAAGACTTTGKGTCAAAATTGTTCTTCATAAACCAGATTTACTGTTATAACCTTCCCCACAAGCCCCATATGTTTCCAGTCAGATCTGCCTATTGCCCCACATGGGATAGCATCTTCCAGGACRAGCTGGGCTGGGAGAGAGGGGAACCTCTGCCCACCAGTCACCCCCAGTGTTGCAGCCCTGCTCACTGGCCAGAAGAACTGTCCATTTCCCATGGCTCAGCAGCAGGGCTCTTTGTGATACAGCCCAGGACACACACATCCCCTGTCACCCCCAGCCACCACAAGATGTCTTGCACTTATAAACCCATCAGCAATCATCCTGCCAGTACTTGGCAGAAGGCTTTTGAAAATTAAAAGAYCAGTAAAATCTCTTCTTAGGAAACACAGCATAGCAACATGTTCTCACTCTCAGACTGGATTTGAGGATATTTTGGAACSCAATTTTTAAATCTTTAGTACTGTAGAACAGTATCTACTCAAGCTATTTGAGATTAAGACTACATGTTTGTAGTTGTTTTTTTACTCGGCAGAAGGTCATTGAAAAAGCAGAAATGGGTTAAGGTGAACTCGTGTTCTCATTCTGAATGTGTCCACTTAACTTTAAATAGAGACTGCTGCTAGGAGAAGAAAAAAATAAGCAAGTGTTGACACACCACACTGCACCACYGCACTGGCCTCTATCAGACTGAAACTACTGCTGTGAAATAAATTCAAAACAGTACATACCTACTACAGTCACATCCACCACTGCTGAATTGCAACAAGTCATTATTCYTGTTTCACGGTCTATTTTAAAAGCACATTTTAACACAGCATCTTATGTCCTTAGCTATCTATGGTATAAGCCTGCAATTTTTCTTTTAGAGGAACAGTTTTAAAGGAAAAGCATATGCATCTATGCAAGTGAAAATTTTTATATAACATCTGCTCAGAGGTGAGATCCTCTCATAAGGAACACTYGGCAGTCTGTACCACTTCCCAGCACGGCACTTTTGAAGCTACTACTCACTTGTAAAGCTACTACTAGTTGTAACAGCGACTCATGCACCTGCACGTCCTGGAATAAACATGGCCATGCAGAGCAGTGTAAGTGCTAAAGCGAGCTGTGAAAAGTTGAGTAAACCCCATCAGGGTTTTTCAAGTTCATGAAAYAGGCACCTTGACACACTTCAAGCCACACAGGCTAAGGGCTTGGAGCAACCTGCCCATCCTGGCTGCCTGGTAGAATCTGGGGGGACAGTCAGGAGCTGCAAGCCAAGAGGAGCTGTCATCAGAAACTCCTCTCCCAAAAGCCTTTTGGAAGCAAACCTGTGACATTAACACATACCAACCAAGCACAGACAAAACAAGGGTGGCTTTGGGACTGCTCCGACTGCATTGCCAGGGCCAGAGGAAACCTCAAAGACCCCCAAGGCATCCAGGAAGGGCTGTGGGCTGTTGCAGGTGGTACTGGCACTCCTGGCTGTGTGCCCCACGAGATGACRAGCCAAAGAGGAAGCGATGGCCACGTGCTGCTGACTGCAAGCAGAGCTTCTGCTTCATGAGAACCATCCCCCAGGCAGAAGTCAACCTACTCCTGAGGCCTTGGTACAAGACTGGCCAACATCCCCAACTCCAGTGTTGTAGCAGCTGCGGCACTTTTTTACTAAACCCCAAATTTCTATTCCAGAACGCACAACACACTCAATGCGTTTGCATCAAGGACTTCTGCTGATCCCCCTATGCAGGTTCTCCCTCATTAGCACACCCAGACTGCWAACATCCTGGCAAGGCACCAGCTTCAAAATATGTCACTGGACTGTGCATCCACCAACCTTAGCCCAAATACGGCACACAGTTACATCCCTGCTACCAGAAAGGAAATCAAGACCTGCACTCACAAAGTGAATTACAACTCCAGGAATAAAATTACTATCAAGCAGGATGAACCAAGACACAGGAGATCCTGTTTGCATGTTTATTTCCTTGACTACCACCCAAGAACACACAAGTAAGCTTCTTCATTTGTTTAAGAGCAYAAGGAGCACTAAGCCAGCTGAATTGCAGGGATGTTTGTTTTAACTGTCTTGAGATCTCTGAAAATGACTGCCCATAGATCACTTCAGATGAATCACAAATGTGCTACAGAAAATTCAAATGATCTCCTGTCCCAGAAAACTTGCATTTTATCTGAAACTGCACTGGATGCTGCGCTGGATAAACACAGTCACCTCCCTCAATAGAGGCACTGGGAACATGAAGGGAGAAYCTCCACTGCAACTCACTTTGAAGCACCAGCAATACCCCAACAAGCCAGAGCATCCAGCATCACTGTTGATAAGATTCTGTAGATTCATTAGCATGCGTAACCACAGTATATGACAGCTCTCAGGGCGATTCTCATTTGCTCCAGAGCCAGAATGTGAGTTTGCAAAGACAGGATGAAAACACAACCCAGCTCCAAGCGCTTACCTAAGCCTTGTATCAGGTGGCAAGATTCATCAGTTCAGTTGGAGTTGTCCACTCCCCTGAAGGCATCTACCTGGCAGAAGCCAGTTGTCTCTGCTGGAGGGYGGGGTGAGCACCCCCAGGTGCCACAGCCCACTGGTCAAATGTCCTTTGGCTCACTCACACTGCCCCAGCTCTGCCCCTTGTCCTGTGGCATGTGAGAGMTCACTGCAGGTGAGTGGGAGAAGAGGCAAGGCAGGAGGCAATCCACACTCTCTCGTTCCCCRGGCTCACTGCAAAGGAAAAAAGAAGTTGGTCAGTTTTCCAGTTCCGGCAGAGCAAAAGCACCATCRTTTAACAGCACAGGGATCTTTGAATACAGAGGAAAGGCAGGTCACATCAGAGCTAGCAGCAAGGCAGCATCACACTGGCAAGAAATAGGCTGTAACTGCAGGGAACACAATGGCAGAAAGTAAACTGCACTCATCTATGTTGCAGAAAAAAAAAAAACTGGTGTAGTTTTCTGGCCATTTTCCAGCCTGGTTGAGTGCCAGGGCTTCCCATGCAGGTCTGAGAGCCCAACACACCTTGGTACCAGCAGGCATATCGCACCAGTAACACAGCAGGCAGAATATGCCCCCTCCCCAAGCCAAAGGCACAGTATTACACCCAGCTTCAGCTGATCTAAGAGCACACTGTCCCCAAGAAGGGCTGCAATGGGGGGCTCTGGCCATTCCTTCAGGACTTGTGTCGGGCTAAGAACACTGTTGTGTCAGTACACAACATCACTGCTTTGCACAACAGAAGTGCTGGCACGGGCTGTRTCACCTAAGCCACTTTCCAGCACTTGCAGTTCTCCATGATAGGTCTGAACAGCTACACAGTCCAAAGGACACCAAAGCCCAAAACAGAGCAATCACTTACAAAAACCAACTTTTTAGTTCTCACCTTCAGCAACTCAGAGAAGCAACACATTAGTTCCACAAGCGTGAAATCGAGATATCATTCCWAAGCACAGTGCTTTGCTTGAAGCCAGCATGCACCAGGCAGATGAAACACAACYCACTTTTGTCATGGGTCACCACTTTAATAATGCCACCTCTCCTCCAATCCTCCTCACAAACACCAGCAAATGGACTTTTCCCAATGCTCCTGGGCTATCCTGTGCTGATTTCCCGCTGTCACACTTTCAGCACCCAAGCACAGTGACTTGGAGGCCCTAAAGTGCAGAAGGCCTCACACCCTTTCAGAGGTGGCCACCATTATAATCAAGTAACCCCTAACACAGATTATATTTCATATATGTTATCACCTAGTAGGTTATAATGTGGCTTACAGGTATTAGATGCAGATTACACATGTTTTCCTCTATTTTCCCAATCTGCACCAACCTTTTATAGTACAATGGCAAGCTGTGGTCACAACCATGACAACAATCTGCCACTAGACTATGGCAATGTCAAGAAAGTCAAACACATTGGCCAAGCCTTCTAGTTATAGAAATAACKAAAAAGCCATTAAGACTGCAATTACAAGCTATCCACCCACCTCAACATGAACAGCATTACCAATAAACACAACCTCTCTCAACTTTCTCCCCACTATCCCTCTTCCTTTGCTCCCAGTACTTACCTCTCGCTCTCACTCTCACACACGTTTTTGGTGCTRTGCCTTGGCACTCTTCTGCCCAAGGATGGAGATGGGAGGAGAGAAACAAGAGGCCTGATAAAGAGATTTGGTCTCCTCCCCGCTTACACTCAGTAAGCCCAGCCTTGGTGCTTCTGCGCACAACTCAGCTGTTGCAAAGTCAGAAGAYGCAGCTTTAGACATAAGCTAAACCCTCTAAGCAGAGCAGTGAGTCTATAAGCAATTCTTTGTCAGCTTCTATTTTTAGACCTCACAGGGAATGAAAGAGCATCCAAACATTTCTAAGCTCTTTTTAATGTGARCTTATCTTTTAGAGACAACAATAGCAAAAAAAGACAAACAAAGGACTACACAAAAATCAAAGATGCGTGAGTTATTTTTTTAAAGCATCATTATTTACATGACTTTTGATTTGAAAAAAGGAAGTAAACTGAAGAATGCATAAGTTCACATGCTGCTTTTGGGAATTGAAGATTAATTTTCTCTCTGCATTCCCTCCTTTTTTCATTGCAGTGTTTATAAAAAGGGCAAAAAAAAAAGCCAGAGGGAAAACAAAAAAAAATCCTCTTTTTTTGGGTGATGCACTGACCTGGAAGGGAACTATATCAACAGGGATTAGGAACTGGCTTCTTCTGTTTGCTTAAGACTGGAAGAGCAGTTTGCATTTCTTTAACCATAAATTAACGGAAGCTACAACAATAGTCATTCTCTGCTTGGACATACATTCCTCCAAAAATACTCTGTTTTATTTTTTTTGGTACATGTAGAAACACTACAGGACACACTACTCTTCTGTTGTCATTCTTGCCTCCAGCTGTACTCRGCAATTTGGGGTAAGCTAAAGGCTCCTTTTGCTATTTGAAACTTTTGCTGGTTTTGGCTTGGCAGGCACGGTCAGCGAGAGGCCACCCACACCCAACACGTGCCTCTAGCAGCAGGGTGAGGACACGTGTCCTGGCTGATACCCAAGATGTCACTCTGGGCACTGTAGATCTAGTGATGCTCCCTAGCCAAAACCAAAGGAACAAGGATGCAAACATAAGCTATCATGGTGCTGGCAGCCTGTGCTCTCTTTGGCACAGGCAGGCAGCATCGTTTTTAAAACACATACAAGGAAATAACAACTGTACTGTCAAAGTTGCTGGTATAGCCAATGGAATAAAGGAGTAGGAAGTTAAAAATCCACTAACAAGATGCAGCTTGTCCATGAAACACTTGTCCAAAATAATTACTGAGGGGAATGACTTGTACATTATAGATRTCTACACTGAGTTAAAGTGAAACCTATGCTGACCGTCTATGTCTTAACACTGCTTTCCAGAGCCTCTGACTTAACCTCATTTTTAGGAGGGAGGCAGCTTCAGCCATTAGCCTGACCCCAACTAATGCCCAGCCCCTGGGAACTATCCTCATTCCTTCAATCACTTTAAATGAGTTTAATCAGCTCACACTGCCTCCAAATACAGATCCCTTGCAGGAAATTATTTGTCTTTGGCAGCCTCTGCAGAGGACACTCCCTGACCTTTTCACTGGCAGTATCCTGGATTTGCATTACCTTCAAACAGCATCTCCAGATGCTAATGCATAAGCCTTTGTTAAGTTGTTTTCTTCTATYAAAGCCCCATGCAAGCATATCCAGTAATAGAAAACTTGAGGGAAACAAGAAGTTTTGATCCAACACCGGAAAGCACTGAGAAAACATCTCCCAAAGCTTTTTAAACAGCCTTGGAACTACATGCAGGACAGCATTATGATACGTAATTTTTTTAAGTCGTATGAAAGCAATCTTTTTAATGGCAACTTAACTTTCCCCTTCCCTTTTGCTTGTTGATAACTCCTAAAATCACTCCAACTTAAGAAATGCAGGAATTTTTGATTTGTGTGTGTGTGTGTGTGCAAATCCAGCACTTTATTAAACAAGAAAAATGTAATCATAGAATCATAAAATYGTCTGGGTTGAAAGGGACTTGTCACTGGCCTCCACCTGTACAAATAGCCACTAACACAACTCTCTGGCTACATCCATCCAGCCAATTTCTTATCTACTCAGCAGTCCACCCTTCAATCCAGTCCAGAGATAAGGATGTTATRTAAGAYCATGTCAAAGGCCTTACAGAACTCTATGCTGATGACACCCATTGATCTTCCCTTGTTCAGTGKTGCAGTCACTCCCCTGGAGAATGCCACCAAATTGGTCAGGCACAATGTGCCCAGAGTGAAGCTATGCTGGCTGTGTCAGATCACCTCGTCGTCTTGCACATGCCTTAGCATTGCCCCTGTGAGGATCCATTCCATGATCCTCCCAGCCRCAGAGGTGAGGCCCATCAGTCTGTAGCTACCAGGGTCCTCCTTCCTACTCTTTCTAGAAACAGTGTGATGCTGGAGTGATGCTTCCCTTTTTTCTAGTCACCAGGGACTTTGCCTGAACACTGTGACTTTTCAAAAATGATGGAAAATGGTTTGCCAACCATATCACCCAGTTCCCCCAGGATCCTGGAATGCATCCCATCAGACCCCACAGACTTGTGCTGGTTCAGTTTCAAGATGGTCTTGAACATAGCTCTTTGCTTACTTTTGGGAGTGYCTTCACTCTCCCAGTTCCCACCTGCAGGTTCAGGAACCTAAAAGATGTGGAAAGCCTGACTGCCAATGAAGAATGAAGCAAAGAAATTGCTCAATCTCATTCATATCTATTATTACCAGTTTTGCCTTCTCATAGTGGTTGTCTTCCCTTTGAGGAAATTGTTAACACAAGAAGTCTTCCCCTCTTTTCTTAGTGGAAAATGTTAAAAAATGTTTAGAAAATGTTTCTAAAATCCAACCATATGTGAAGACTTAAGGCAGAGGTAATATTTCAGCTTATGAAACAGCAATGGTCGTGTAGCACACCCTGTTAAAAGCAGCTTTCCAGATTAGGAGTCGACATAAAAATAACTCAAGGATTCATGTTGGTTTTGACCAGTGTTGAAATCAACATCTAYGTCACTTGGTCAGGGCTCCAAAACACATCTTACAATTTACTTGAATTTGGCTRTTAGCATTTTACCGTGGTTGATTTAAAACTAAACCTGCCACAGAGAGTGAAAGACAGACACACAACTTTCCGSACAGGGAAAATTAAATGATACCAACATTTTGGAGCAAGCTGTATTACTGAACTAACAGTTTCTGTACTTAAGTCGTAAGTGTCATGAAATGATGCTCAGGGGAGTGGTGGAAAACCAACCAGGTGGGTCAGTGATGTAGCCTGCCACCATGGAGCCCAGGATCCAAGGGGATGTACTACCAAGGGAGTAGGTGACACAAACAGACATCAAACCAGATGCCATCTTTCCACTTCTAGGTTTTCAGAGGCATTCTTGAGAAAGCAACACAAGGAACTTCAGGAAAACCCAGGCTCAGAACCGCAGAGGAAGGATCTATTAYCTACATTTACCATTTTGCATGTCCTCAGCATTTCTGATGTGAATAATGGACAGCAATGGAAGTGGGAYAAAAGCAAGTCAAAGGGGACCATAGTAGGTTCAAGTYTATCAATAGAAATATTTAAGAAAGKTTTTTCCAGTGAAAACTGAAGCTTGTATGAAGAAAGCGACAGTATTCATGGAAAAATACAAAAATTCACAAAACCTCTTCTTGGATGAGA